CAGCCCAAAAAATTGGTTTGCCATGAATTTAGTTATTATATAAAGATTATATAGGCATTTATAAATATATTCCCAAAGATATGTTGCCCTGGCCAGGGGGTACATGACTGAAGAAATATTTCAAAAGGAAAAAAGTTTGAGAACCACTGCTCTACAGAACATGTTGTTTCCATTTTTCTGATTCTGTCTGTGCATTATTTTTACTGAGTCAAGCACTATTTAAAATAATGGGTTGACAGGTATTTCTTTATGAGCCTCTTTGGTGGTGTCTTCGTAACTACCAGAAAAGATACTGTAAGTACAGCCTTTAAGAGGAGTGAAGAGTAGCATCAGTTACAAGAATGTTTTTCCCATTCCATAGTCTATAGTAACTCTAATGATGCAGGATACGTCTGTCCAATGCATAGGTTACCTCTCACACCAAAAGACTTCATGTTTGGAATTCTTGGGTTTGTTTGTCAAGTAAGTGTAAACCGACCTGCAGGTGTGAACAGCCTTTTTCATATAGATATACAAAAACTGTGTTTACTGTCATCAGAAATGTGAAATTTATCACCTCCTATGCAACAGATAATTTCTCCTTGGTAAGACCAAGTAAGCGCCAGGTGTTTTTTAACAGAGAACATAAAAGCTTTAATGAGCCTGGGTGTAGACATGAGAGCTGCTGTGTCATAACAGTCTGTGATAGAGACTTCTATCTTGTGTCTGTCTTACCCATAGTATCTGTCCATCAGCAAGCGACTCAAAATAAAGCTTTTACATTCAATTCTACATTTCATGTGCTATACAGACCACACCAGATGCAGCATCTACGGTCTATTTAAAATGCCATTCTCTCCAGATCACTCGTATTAAACCACTCTTAATGTGCACTCAGAGGCAGTCATCCTTCATATTGTTGTCCGAGGGAACTTCGTCTCCTTCCTCACTTTCTTTTTGCTTGTTTTTACTTTCAATACTATTCCATTATACTTTGCTATTTCTTTACTTTTAGATATATTTTGCAAAAGCTTTTTCTTTTTTTACTGTTTCTTTATTTGTGTTTCTGTTCTGCTAAAAACTGTAGCTCTTTCAACATTGTGTGGTATTGGTTTGAAAGAGAACAGGAACTGAATGTTTCATGTGGCTATAAACAATATCTCCAAAGAGCGACAGCATGTGTAAAAGCCAACCAACTGCCACTTTTGATTAGGTAGTAATTGTTTGACATGTTTTATTTCAACGTGACTGTATAACAAACATTTCATGAGCAACATCCAGCGTTTTCATAATCTTTTGTTTTTCTCTGGAATCTCAGTGCACTTAGCTGCCCCTCTGACTCCCAGATGTTGTAACTCTGTGGTGCAGATTGAGAGACGCTTCTCCGATATTCCCATCAAAACAAAACAAAATAATAAACCCTCCCAATGTGCATTAACTTAAGCAACAGCCTGTATGCTCATTGGATGCCCTTTGTCATGTCTCTCGTTCCCTGTCTTTTGTGTGTGTGTGTGTGTGTGTGTGTGTGTGTGTGTGTGTGTGTGTGTGTGTGTGTGTGTGTGTGTGATAGATGGAAGTGGAGTTTAGGTTATCTGTACTATCAGGGCCCTACCTTTAGATGCTCCTTGGCTCTACAAAACAGATGACAGCTGTGATGAATGAGCTGCATTTCACACTCTTACACTGGATCTGGTATCACACTATATGGACACAGCACACACACACACACACACACACACACACACACACACACGTAGTGTACATACACAAATGCATATACCACTCAGACACACTAAATATTGTCACTTTGCACATCCACAATGAGCATGTGCTGTAAAAGACAGACTGTAAATGTGCAGGAGAAGACAAGTGCTGACTCTTCTACAACTTTCTCCCCCATATATCACCATTTTTTTCATAACTACTTCTCTTTAACAACCAGTGCTAAAGAAATGCCACATCTTTCCGCACAAGAGTGGGTGTAGAGTAACCTTCTAATGCAGACACAGTTCCAACCAGCCTCACCTCACCTTTTTTTCCCCCATTGCCTCCTCTGAAAACCGATAACCTCACAACAACACTCATTCATTCTTAATTACGCATATCATTCTTCGATGCTCACACACTTGATCAATCTGCAATTAAATGTCCTTTTATGTTTTTGTAAGGAAATGTTACACTTTATTTTCATGTGACTACTTTCCCTCAACCTGCCTTTTCAACTTCTATTTTAGTTTGTGCTTTTCCATATTTCGTGTCTGTATACAGTCGTCTTAGTCATCCAGGTTATGAGATGTCAGAACAAACAATTCACTTGGCTTCCTTTTGGTATCATAGACAGCTAAACAAAGACGGTCTGATTGGAAGGAGTGGGCGGTGACAACATTTATCTGCTGCTTACAATGTTACCATAACATCCTATACCTCAGCGGTTTGCCAAGACACCTTTCAACCTAGTCTAGAGAAGTGTGTGCCGGGTGGAAGATGCCCCCTGCGTACGTGTTCTCAACTACACCCTCATCCACATGAAGGGGGCATGTGTCTCCACAGGGATGAGTACTATAGGTTTCCTAAAAGACAATTCAGATAAACCCCTAAAGGTTTTAATTCCAGCAATATAAAGTTTAGTAGAGTTTGAAATTTCCTCTGATATATTTCCCAGAATTACTTTCGTCCACCCTCAGAGAACAGACATGAACTTGTTGCCTTCAGTCGGGCTATTTGTGTAGGTGGAGAGAGCAGTAATTGATTACATAGTAAAAGCAAGACAGCAAGAGATGTTTCAAAATAGAAAATATAAGACATGTGTCCCTTGAATGTAGTTTCTGCTATTGGAAAAACTAGTGAGAAATCTTTGTATTTTTTCAAGCTTAATTTCTCCTTGAATTATTGAACGCTGCAGCAAAATTAGGACCTCATAAAGAGTCACATGCTTCCTTCTCCTGATGGACTGAGCCCAAAACTTAATGTTGACAATCATTTCCAAATAGCCATTTGTGGTTGACATGCCTGTCTGTTTGTGGCAGATAATTCATTGAAATTACATGAAAATACATAATCTAACAAAAAAAATGTTTCCAGAGCAGACAATTGAATCACCAACTGCAGGAGAATTTTCCTTTCAACTAAGCCACAAGTCAAACACGCATGATCGCAACCAGTGACCAGGAGGTGACTCACTGACCAAATGACTGAGGTTCTTGCTCTGGGAGAAGATGGGCCTTGTTATCAAATAGGTAGAGCTTGGTTTTGTTCGTTCTTTCATTAAAACAGCCTCCTTCCTGTGAGTGGGGCATGTGTAGTGAGGGAAGAGAAAAGCTACACATTTGCAACCATGCTGAAACAAATGAATGTGTAAGAACCAGAGAGATTGAGATTCACAGAGCAGTGCTCTTGGAGAATGAAGACCACCGCACAGACAAACAAGATTAGAAAAGAAAGGCAGATGAAGAATACAAGATGAGATGAGAGGGGAAGAGCAGAGGACGGAGGTTCAGAGTTAAGCATAAAAATCGCGAATTTGGAGGGGACTGCTACATTCTTTTTTTTATTGTTATTTTTTCTTTTTTGCCCTTCTAGTGTGTCACCAAGTGTCAATGGATGCAGTTATCAGAGCTTCAAGTTGTTCACAGCTGACAGACTGTCACTCACACACACACAGTCAGATGGACAGGCTAAAGTGGATCTGAGGATGCCAGCCACTTCAAATATGCTCACTTACTTTGATCTCTTTTCCTTTTTTCCTCTTTACATGTCTCTTTCTTTCACATACACACACATACAGGATATCTCAAACGATTTGATGTATTGCCTTTATTAGATAACAGACAGTAAAAAGTGACAGGAAAGAAGCAGGGGACCAAGATTACAAGCTAGGCTCGTGGCTTCATGCCATGTGTCTCACATCACCACCAGGACGCCCCTCACTCTCACAGCTTTGCCCAATTAGGAGTTTCTGTGTGGCCTGAAAGGGTCTTGTGGTGTGAAGTCAGCAGATTGCTGTTTAGTGGAGGTGCAGTGTGTATTATTGGGATGGGGAGAGTGCATCGATCTCTATCAGCATTCCCATAGGATAAATCCACCTACATGCTGACAGTAAACCACCACAGGCATACTGTAGATACAAACACACACACACTATATCAATTGAGCTTAACATGGTTCCCATTCTAGTGCATTTTCTGGCTTTAAAAAAAACACAGAATTATGCAATTGTTTAACTATTTCATAAACAAAAAATTGCCATGTCACATTTATACTCTGGTACAGTGGGCTATGATAAATGACGAATGGTAATGATGATTACCTCTCTGTGGTAGCTTAATTCCTCTCTGTGCTAACTGAATTAAATTTTTATACGAACATAGGAGCTGGAGTGGAAACAGCCTTTAAATTTTTGGATTATTGTGGATTTGGAAAAACGTGACTCGCAGAAATAAATCTAAACCAAAAAATAAACCGTGTCCTTCCTAAATGATTTTTGAACAGTGCATTCCTAGGAAGCTTCTGGATTCAGCTCATTTACTCAATTCTGTGACAGAATGCTGCACACACTGGCAAATGTGGCTGACCTTGCTTCCAAGACACAGCACTAGCAATTTAAGCCTTGGATGATGTATGTGTAATTGCAAGAGTGCCTCTGATATGAAATCATAACAATAATTTTGCCAAAATTTGATGGTATTACTATTCAATATTCAGTGTGCGTAAGGCCTTGTTTTATGTAGATCAAAAACGAGGAGTGGTTTGTTTTTTCACAGTTTATATATCTTCTCTTTTAAATCTAAATTCAACTCTACTTAATACCATAATCACGTGTACAATACATACAAAAAAAACACCAGATGATTCAATTTAAATACAGTATGTCAACCTAATGTGAAAACATTTATGTATTTTCATTTTTGCCTTTCAAGATGTTTGTAGCCTTTAGTGTCAGCTTGCAATATAATGGGGGCATATTAATGCAGACCTTCAATGTACTGGATTCTCTGATTAGATGCATTTGATGTGTTTTACAGAAACTCGGGAAGACCGCACAAAGAGACTGTTCAGACACTACACTGTGGGATCTTACGACAACTTCACCTCATACAGGTACGGCCTCTTTCTCTTAGCTAGCATGCTACTGCAAGGTGTATTACTGTATACTGTACTGCATGAACTATAACAGTCATATCACAGACTCCTTCCTTACCTGAATAGGGGAAATAAAGTCCATGAGAGAAGGTGTTGCAGTGCTATGGAGCTGCTGCCATCTAAAGGCATAGGACTGCCAGTGCACTCAGTTCTAACTTTAAAATGAATTTGTGTTGCATAACTCTGTTTAACAGTTTGTTTTTTGTCTGTATGTGTGGGTGTCTGTGCACTGTACATACACATGCATGATATATACTCTACATGCATGCGTGCAGGCACATGCATGGTTCTATGCTTCATGTTTTCTTGATTTGCTGCCAGGATGTTCCTGTATAAGCTGTTTAAATGTTTTATTTTCTGACTCTTAGTATGTCTTTTCTTTTTCCCTTCCCTGTCTCAAGCGCACATTAATTGTGTAGAGAATGCTCCCTGTCTTCTAAGTTAGATTTGTTGGCTGAGAGTAGAGTAGCAAGCTATATGCGATTTTGTTTAGTGCAAATTCCCGCTTTAATTCCACATTGTGTCAGTTTGAGACACAGTGCAAGTCTGAATGACTATTGTTTCCACCCACTTTCTTGCTTTTCATAAAATGTCAGGTTCTTGCATTCTTGGTTTTAGTTGGATTAAATGTCACTGCTGTTACCACAGCTCTATTACCACAGTCCCACTACCCTGTGATAGTCTACACACACAAGGTAATATGTCATATGAATATATTTTTGTTTTGGAATGGCAGTGAGTATTTTTTAATTAAATATAATTTAGTCGAGACCTGGAAAAATATTAAATGATGTCACATACGTTACAGGTGCAACAGTAATGAACACTGCATGAAATCCCACCAGGTTACAGCTGTGAGACTGAGGTTTTAAGGAGCCGATGCAACATATAAACGTTTGAATAAAACACCAGTTGCATATGCAAGCAAAAAGCCCAAGCAGGACAGAAACCTATTAAGTTACGTTGTACAATTTCTTAGAATTATAGTGTGAGGGATATTAGAATCATAAATGTCAAAGGACAGGTTTATTTCAAGGAAATATTTACCATTTTAAATTGAGTCTTACAGCAGAATTTTTTTTTATTGAGTAATGTAGGCGGATAGAGTTTCTGAACAAGGACAGTGAACATATTGCATTTATGCAGGATTTTGGGGCATAGAGCAGAGATGAAAGCGTAGTGGATAAAAGGGTTTGGACTGAGACAGCATCTTAGTGATGCTTAACCAACACAGTTTTTGTGCATAATAATTGGTGCAAAAGTGGATAGATAGCTTTTTATGAAACCAAACCTTTGACCTCCCTCCTGCAGAAAGGTTTGTTACGGGTCTCCTGGCTCCAGCAGCAGGGGCTCTGTGTTCCCTTGGTAAGTCTGAGAGAGTGAAGTGTAACTAAGCTAATGGAGACTGCAGCCGCCTACTGAGTTGCAACCTGAGCACTTGCCTTTACATCTGCCTCAGCCATGATGAAGGATAACTAATAATGCAGAAAATCATCAAATACTACAAAACTCATGGCTTTTTTCGCAGTGTTCAGGCTGTAAACTGGCAGCAGTCCCCTCTGTAAAAGTGTGGTGTGAAAAGACGCCGCAATTTCTTTGTCTTTTGTGTACATCAAGTTTAAGCTATGATATAGGAATGAAGGTTATAGTCTTATAGTTTTAATATTTTACATTTAAAATAACTTTTACTGCTCTGCATTAGAAATGTGCCTTTTAGTTTACCCACCTCCTTTTATACCCATCTATCACCATTATAAATTTAGACTAAAACCATTTTAACTCATACTTACCTCTTACCTGAAGGTCATTTTGATAAGAACAGGTGGTGTGAATATTTGCTTGCACAGACATCCAGCCATCCATACTCATATTCGCTTTGCTGCTTAATACTGCCTTACTAACTCTGCTTTGCTTTTGGCTCACAGGCTTTTGATATAGATGTGTGGCTTGAAAAAAAATACATTGAAGTGTGTGCAGAGCAGCACAGGTTAACCATCTAACAGCCTCCACCACACCTCAAAAATCAGAGAGTGATTAACTGCTCACTTACTTTTGCCTCCTTTTCTCTGTGTCATTAGTCAGGAGATAATATTACATCCGAGTCGTCTCAGTCAGTTTCTTTAGCAGAAGCCCTCAACACCCTCCTCAGTTGCAGTCTCATCTGCAGGATCAGCCAGAAGATTGATTCACTCTTAAGTTTTATCCCAAAGATACTTCAATCACAAGGACTCTCTCTCGCACTCTCGCTCGATCTGTCTGTGTGTGTGTGTGTGTGTGTGTGTGTGTGTGTGTGTGTGTGTGTGTGTGTGTGTGTGTGTGTCTCTCTCTCTCTCTGTCTCTCTCCAAATACTGGTATAACCCCTGGGAATCCTTAGCTGTGGTTGCTTGCTTCGCTTTTAACTTGATTGGTTAACAGGAAAGGAAGTACAGTGCAGGTGTGTGTGTGTGTGTTGTTTTTTTTTGTTGTGTGTGTGTTTGTGTATGTGTGTGCACCTCCATCTCCTCCCACTTTCCAATCCCCCCTCGACCGACCCTCTTTACTCTTCTGCCCTCCCTCTCGCCCCTCTCTCTCTTTGTGTGTGACAGGATGGTGTTGGATTCATACCTACTCTCCCTTTGCTCTCTCCTTCACAGTGACTATATCATAGAGGAGAAAAATGCTGTTTTACAGAAGAAAGAAAATGAGGGGTTTGGCTTTGTCCTGCGGGGAGCCAAAGGTGAGATACAAACACACACACACCTTTGCCACACACATTCACATTCACTACACACTTGTTTTCAACGTGTAAGAGTTTTGATGCGAGAAGCAGTTTGTTGATCTGAGTCACGGAGTACGGCTCAGTCGGTATTGTTACTGTGTGAGTCAACAACACAACCAGCTTTGGTCAACACTCAGCTTGTATACTCAGATGCACTCAGGCTCCTGTGTGAGTGTGTGTTGTGTGTGTGTGTGTGTGTGTGCGCGCGCATGTTTGTTTGTGTAGCCCCTTTGGTGGCGTCATCCTTGGCTGAGCTGTCGGCTAGCTGTCCCATCTGTTCCCCACACATGGCGTTCAGCTTTAGTAGAGACACACTCCTCTCTCTCCTCCCTCTCTTTCTCTTATCTTTGCTCTGTCTGTCCTTGTTTTTGTTCCTCTCAGCTCTCCTCCACCTCCTTCATATCCTTCCTGTCCATTATCCTCTCTAAATGTTTTCACGCCATCGCTTTCATACCTTCCGCATTTTTTAACCGAAATCTCCACTCTACTCATCTCCATCGCCACAAATTCATTTTACTCATGCACGTGCCAGCTCTCCCTGCTCGGGCTGGTTACCATGGCAACCCCTCTCAGGCACCTTGCCGAGAGAGTCTGAATGTGCTTTACTGCTCCATCACTCACTACCATGGATCTTGGCCCACCCTGCTCTTTTTTACTCACTCTGTCTTTTACTCACCAGTACCCTTAAACACTCCCACCCACACACACACACACACACACACACACACACACACACACACACTGCAGTACACTTAGTGGTCCTCTGAGAAGTCTCATGTGTCAGTGGTTTAGTTGGATTTGTTCCAAGATTAAATTAAGTTTGTTGTAGCACACTCTCTTAAATTGTGCTTGTGTACTGTATGTGTGTGTGTGTGCGTTTCTGTTTTGCTGAGATATGCATGAAGTTGCACAAGTGTGAGCATGTGATTGTATGCGACTATATGCATCAATAATATTGTTTAGGTGCAGCAGGCAACTGCAGTGCATTCACTAAACGCTACTAGTATTCCTACCTAATATACTCAACAAATCAAATGAAACTGTGTTAATGTATTAATGGTATAATTTTAGTAAAGCTAAAAGGGAAGTTTTGAAAAATGTAACATTGCCTCCAAGGAAATAAAAATAGAGCAGAATAAAACCACCAGCCAATATTTTCCAAATATTCTTTGCAGCATGTAATACACTCTCTGTTTGTGATCTTGTTGTGTTCATTGTTGATCTCATCTAATAGAAAAGCAAAAAATTAATCAAAAGAAGCTATAGATTTCACTCAACTGTTCTGGGTGGGTTTTCTCTGTGTGTTTCCCCTCAGCTGAGACGCCCATTGAAGAGTTCACCCCCACCCCAGCATTCCCTGCCCTTCAATATCTGGAGTCTGTGGATGTGGAGGGAGTGGCCTGGAGGGCTGGTCTGAGGACAGGAGACTTCCTCATTGAGGTGATTAAGGACAGCACTTCCTTTGTTTCTTCTTCATGTGTATCCATCTCATTACTGAGCACACTGGTGAACAGAGAAGGCTAACAACTGCATGAGTCTACACAGCCATATGGCACATTTGTGGATATGCATAGTTCTTCCTTTGCCTGCAAGAGTTATTAGAAATCTGAATACTTGCAGTTGAAGCTTTTATGTTTTTTTAATAATCGAGATACTGCTCAATAAAGGATAGTTAGCAGAAAATGATTGAGGTTTGATCATGTGAAGTATCCCATCCTGATGGACCAGATTGTAGTTACTTTGGTGCTTTAATGTCAGCAGCATTGTAAAAACCAAAACCAAACAAGGTTACAGTTATGTCGACGTGTCTCATTCTGTCTTTATGTGTGTTTTCTCTTAAGGTAAATGGGGTGAATGTGGTGAAGGTGGGACATAAGCAAGTGGTGTCCTTGATCCGGCAAGGGGGCAACAGGCTGCTGATGAAGGTGGTGTCTGTCGCACGCAAACCTGAGTCTGAGGAGGTCGTTCGCAAGAAAGGTAAAGACCAGATAAATTGGATAAACTCTTCTGTTCCCTATCTTTTAAATATGAAAAATCTAATATGTGACATATTACATTTTACATGTAACAACTCTAATATTTATAATGTAATTTAACACAAAGCCCTTATGGACTGGCTCAGCTACTATGAAACCTATTCATTAATATGAACAATAATGTAAATAAACCTGTTCCATTAATTGCATACAGGTGGCTTAAGTTTATTGTGTGCTCAAGGATTTTAGCATGTCACATGTCATTTCTCATAGGATGTCTCAGTTATTTGCCAATGAGATATGTATGGTTGGCTTTATGTACAGAGGACTTTTGCGCATTTTCCATTATCAAGGTGATTTCTACCATGTTTCTGCTGTAGATTCATGTGGTTTCCATGTCAACCAAAGCTCGCCGTTACTCAGCTTACTCAGCTCCCACACAGTCCTGGTAATATGACCTCAGGACCGTGTACACTGCAATAGTGTGTGTGTGCGTGTATGTGTGTGTGTGTGTGTGTGTGTGTGTGTGTGTGTGTGTGTGTGTAAGCGCATGCGTGTGTGTGGTAGAGTAATGTGTTTGGTGCACCTCCTTTGTGATTATTGAGATACAGAGACAGTGATAAATGGGTTTGACCCAGTTTCATTGAGACAGTTCTGTATCAACTAAATCCGGCTACTCAGGGCCTTATGGTCTCTCTTAATCCCTGTCCCTCTTTGTTTCTCGTCTCTCTCTTTCTTTCTGTCTGTCTGTCTGTCTATCCCCCTCACCCCTGTTGTCTTTTCATCTTTTCATCTTTTCATCTTTTCATCTTTTTATCTTTTTATCTTTAGGCTATATCTAATCCATCTGTATCTTTCCCTTTGCCTGTCTCCTTGGCTAATGCAAAAAGACATCTCAGCTGAACAGCCCAGTACCTTTTTATGAAGCTTTGGACCACATGTTCTTCAGTAGTTAGATCTTAGGGAGGATGCGCCTGCCCAGTATTTTGTTTGTAGTGCTAAACCAAAGTCTTAAGTACCAGTGCCAGAGGGGATTTCAGCATGCAACACAGTGACACCTGCTGGACTGAATGATGACTTCAGTTTTAAATATTTCCTTTTAAACAAGTTTACAAATATGGAAACATAGAATGCGTTTAGTAACCTGGGTTAGATTTGTGAAATTGTATGAGATTAACTGTTCCCTTGTTTTTAGTCATTGTTTACTGATCAGAAATAGGAAGTGAATTATCATGTGACCCTTTAAGCCACCCTGCTAATTCCTGTATATAAAAGGCTTGACTACCATTTTCCTCCATGCTCTGATTAAAAGCCATGAAGCCGAAACGTTAGCACATTTTTCTGACATGGCCGAAATAAATTGATGCAGTTGAGATTCATCAACTTTTTCCTGCAAATCTGTGTGTGCTACCTTTTTATGCCTTTGGGTGTTCATCCTGGGTTCAGTGGTGGATGTTATAGTCTTCCTCAGCTGATTGACTTTGATTTCATTTAATTAAAGCAAAAGTTTGACAAAATACACTTACATTGCTTTTGAGCTAATTAAATGAGAAGATCAATACCTCTCATTTTCGTCCATTTAATATTAAGCTACATTCAGCAGCTAGTTAGCTTAGTTAAGCATAAATATTGCAAACAAGTTAGCCTGGCTCTGTCAAAACTCAAATCTGACACCTCTAAAGCTTAAGTTATATCTTGTTTGTTTAGTAGTCCATACAATATCAGGTGGTTATAAATGACAATTTGCAATTTTACGTACAGGGTTTACAATTCTTTCTTTCTTGGATCTGAGCAGTTGCCAGGCAACCAGCAAAGACTCCAGGTCCACTCTCGATTACTGGTTTCGACCAAGAAACAGTCCGCCATATAAGCCTCTGTTTAAGGGAGAATAATCATTTTTTACACCTTTGGTTTTGGTATTTATTAAACAAATAAAAATGTGTTAGTTGATGAGTTTTAGAGGTGCTGCTAGGTGGATTTTGTTCCCTTTTGAAATAGCCTGGCTAACTGTTACTGCCAGTCTTTATGCTACACTTAGCTAACTGGCGGCTGGCTGTAGCCACATATCTAACTGACAGATATACGACTGTGGTATTTATCTTCTCATCTAACTCTCAGCAAGAAAGCAAATAAGCGCAATTCCCAAAATGTCGAACAATTCCATTTGCATAATACATTTTACACTTATCTCTGCGTGTGTCTAAGCTGCTGAGACGTCAGATATTTGGTAGGTGGTCGATGGAGTGCGGTAGAAATGGCAGTAGTTGGTGAGATTCGTTTAGTGCGAATCACAGACACTGAGATACACAGTGCACACAGCTGTAGACAAGATGGAGTGTGTTTTGTGTTTCCGAGATGAGGGAGAACGTGATTGCTCACTTCTGTTTCAAACCTTTCCTAAACATCTTTTTTTCCCCATCCCGAGCTGTGAGGAACTCCTTCTTCTGCCGCACTGCTCCTCCGGTGGGACTTACTCTGCATGTTGTGCCGCACCTTTGCACAAATGCACAGACACACGCTCACACACACACACACACACACACACACACACACACACTCACACACAGAGAGACTTCCAAGCAAACACACACATTCTCTGCACCATGCGAGGCCTCACTACTGCCACCGTTGCCATGGTGACTACACTGCATGTTTGAATTAAGCATTACATTACAGCAAAAGCATCTCTCTCTCCCTCTGACTCTGTCTCTGTTCCTCTCTCTTTCTCCATCCTCCTCCATCTCCTCTGCTCCCCGCTACTGTACCAGAATGTGCAGACTGGTGAGGAAATGAAGATGTTTGATATGGACTGTACCCAGGATGGCGTATGTACACTAGATCTGCAGCCGCTGACGACAGCAGGATGGTTAGGCTTTAGTAAGGCACTAGGACATCTGTGGGATTTAGAGCTCTTTCTCTCTACAGTGGTGCAGTGAGTTAATGCAATGTTAGCTGGTCGATTTCAGATAGAGTGAGCTGATCTAGTTGCGTTGTGCGGGTACTGTTCGGAAACTTTGTTTTAGCATGTAGGGACTGCTGTGGTTTTATGATCTCTCTGACTGCATGGCATTACGTTGTTACTGCGGACTTAACTTACATGATCACAATTTTTTTTTAATGTGGTTAATTACAATGTTAAGTGTAACCTGATTTAAAGCCCTTTTTTTGTAACTCTGTAGTTGGCATTTGGAACATACATTTGGTAGATGTGTTTCCCTGCTCTGAGTGGGACGATAACAGCCCAGTTGTCTTGTGTGTATAGTAGGATTGGGAGGCTCCCATGGGCTTTGGGGTATAAAGTCTGCAGCGCATAATTTTCATTAGCTGTTGAATTTACTGTCATCTCTTCGTCTGTCAGCCCACATGTCATTATGTCCTCCCTCGTGGAGTTTTGTCTGTGTATTTGCATGTGGTCCCGCATGTGGCAGGATATGCATGTGTGTGTAAGGCGGTGTGTCTGTGCAATTCTGTCTGATGCACACCTGCTAAATTCCAGACAGACAGCATATTAAAAGTAAGATGGACGACTTTCTCCCTCTCCTTGCCACACTCACTTTACTCATTCTGCCTATTGTGGTAGAAAAAATCGGTTGTTCTGTGTGTAATGAGAAGATTCAGAGAGGTAGGGATGTTACCAAGAGGACTGAGCTGCACATTTACTGCCTCTGGGCTCCTCAACAGAGAGGAATTCTTGCAGCACAAAGACTAAAAAACTGAAAGAAAGTCTGACAAATTTACTAGCCATTGGACCAACAAAGAACAAAACATGAAGAAGTTGAGCTCGAACCGTAGCCTGAACAAGGTCCTGACTAAGCATGAGGCGTCTGGTTCGACTGAATTTGACCAGATCAAAGCAGTGAAGACGGGATGGACTGGCCGTCTGGGGGACGCCAGGAGAGCACTGAGCCGCAAAGCCAAAGGATTTTCCTCCCCCTCAACTTCATCCTCAACACCATGCCTTTTCTCCACAGCTCCCCCGCCACCAAAGAGAGCTCCCAGCACCACCCTGACACTGCGCTCCAAGTCCATGACCGCTGAGCTGGAAGAACTGGGTGAGTGCCAGAGAGCTGACATGCAAACTCCATACTCTCTTCTTCTCTTTCTGTCACATTTCTGCTTTCCCTTTGTCATTAAAACTTGGTGTGTCTCCTAACTTTTAGAATAGTCACTTCTGTTGGCTTGTTCTTGTCATTTTCCCTCCTCTGCTGACGCAATCTTTTTTCCACCAAGCTTCTGCTCGGAGGAGAAGAGGAGGTGAGTCTGAGGCAAGAAATTGACACCTCTCTGAATGCCATTAAGATGATTTATCACTGCTGTGTAAATTTAAGCAGTGTTGATTTAGATCAGGAGAGAAGAAGAATTTGTGGACTCTCTCTGCCTTTTCTCTTTTTTTGTCTCTCTCTGTCTCTTTCGACTCTTAGTGCTCACTCCCTAGCGGTCATCAAGGAAACACAGTGAACTTGTATTGAGATAGTGCAGTGATTTTATACACTACCATAGAGCATGACCTCACATTGTACAGGATAGCTACATGTTGGAGATGCCTTTTTAACCACAGCTTGTATTCTCTATTGTGTTAGCTCTGTCATAAATGATGACACAACGTTTCCCTGGTCTTATGTCTCAGTATTTAGTTCTGGCTCATTTCCTTCTCAACAGAGAGGCTAGATGAGATGTTGGCATCCCAGGAGTCTATACTGCGTTCTCAGCCCCCGGAGGCAGATTACAGAGCAGCCACTGTCAAACAACGGCCCACCAGCAGGAGAATAACACCAGCAGAGATCAGTGTGAGTGCACCTACACACAGCACACTGGCAGACAACATATGCTACCATGATGGTATACATTCACACTCAGTCTGACAAATATCATACTCACCTGGGCTACACAGCACTACGCAACACTACACACATGTACGCAAATACGCATGCACTACACTACACTGCATCATCATTTTTAGGAGTTTTTACTGGAGCTTTGAAGGCATTAAAACTTCTTTCTGTTTGATGTGCTGCAGTCACTGTTTGAGAGACAAGGGATGACTCTACATGGAGGTCTTCACCCAGGCATTGAGAGAGGTCACATACCACTACCAAAGGGGATGTCCAGGACCAAGTCTTTTGGTAAAACAATCACCCATCCTGTACATATTCAAATCAGGTGAATGATAGTGTATCTTATGTACAGCATGCTTATAGGTAATATATTGACATGTAGAGAATATAAAATAAGGAAGCTTCATTCTTTTTTTATAAATTGCATTACTACACCCACAAAAAATAGCATCTAGACAGCAGTAGCCTACAGCAAATAGAAAATAGTGAGGATGAAGCTGCATCCTCATCAAATTAATGTGAAGTTCCTGACAGATTTGACAAATGTTAACAGGTACATGGTTACAAAAACATACAGTACTTACATTGTATTACAAGTTCAGAATGTGCAAATGTGCTTATTGGATATTCACAGAAACAGATATGCAGAGCAGATGTTCAAGTACAGAATCTATTTCAAAAGTAGATATACACATACATTATTAATACTGTCTGTATTATTTAACATTTTTCCTGTTTTCCAGTTCGCTCATCAAACGAATGTTGAATTAATTGTTAAATAAGTCAAAAATAGTTAGTTACATGTTTTATTAAAATATTGTATGGCTGGGTTTGAGACACCTGATTCATTATTAACTGTGTGAGTTAACAGATTTACAGATGGATGCATTACAGTGTACTTTTCAGAAGCAGCGGAGGACCTGCTAGGCTAGTATAAAATGGTCCTTTTTAATGAGCTTACTCCCCGTCACCAGAGGATCTATGCTGTCCCCTCCCTCATCAGGTGCCACTGAAGAGGACCGGCTGTCTGCCCTAGCAGGAGAGCACAGATTTCCCCGCAGTTCCTCTATGACAGACAGCCTCAGAGACCACTCACAGCCTCATCCAATCCCTCCACCTCCACAAATGGCACCTCCTCCTCCTCCCTACTACCTAGACACTGGTCCTCCCCCAGCCTTCTGCCCCCCTCCTCCCCCATCTAGGACCCAGAGTCAGGGCCATGAGCCTGGGGGACGCTCCAGCTTCAAGCCCTCCTCCTTGGATCTGCCTTACGAGGCAGCGCAGCGACAGGCCACACACATCGAGAGACAGAAGAAAGCTCGCTCCATGATCATCCTCCAGGACTCCTCTCATCTACCTGTAGAGCCTACAGAAATTCCCCGTCCTTCTGCTGCTACTCCACCTGAGCGAATCAAAAGGAAGGGTCGGGTTATTGATAACCCTTATGCTAATGTGGGTCAATTTAGCATTGGACTATACACACCCACCAAACCCCAGAGGAAGAAAAGTCCCCTGGTCAAACAGCTACAGGTAGGTTGCATGTTAGGGATGGTACTCTGATTTCTTTTCTTTTTTTTTTTTACTTTAGCGCAAAAGACCCTCTTCGACAGACTTTGACATGTTTGGTTGATTTTTTTTCTGTCTTACTGCAGGTGGAAGATGCACAAGAAAAAGCTAGTTTAGCCTTAGCTGCTGCCCACTCCCGAGAGAGCTCACCCTCAGGACGACACCCACACACCCATGGGCACACACACACCAGCCGTGCAGACTACTACCAGCAGCAGCTGATGGCTGAGCGAGAGCGTATGCGTGTCCAGGGAGAGATGATGCTTCAGGGTAAGGGCCCCTTTGCTGCTGCAATTGCTGGAGCAGTGAAAGATCGTGAGCGTCGCCTAGAAGAACGGAGGAAATCCACTGTCTTCCTGTCTGTTGGGACCATGGAGGGGGCGTCTACCACGAGCTCTGACGCCCCCTCTCTAACTCAGTCTCACTCCATCGATGAACGGATGCTCACCCGAGAACTGGGACAGCTGCCTCCCCCTGCCTTGGCACTGAGCCCCTCACCTAGTGGGACCACCTTTATCCATCCGCTCACAGGAAAGCCCCTGGACCCCAACTCTCCACTGGCTCTTGCGCTGGCCGCAAGGGAGAGGGCACTGACCTCCCAGAGCCAGTCCCCAACTAGCAGCCCAGAGCCTAGGACTAAACAAGAGCGGATAGGCCAGGGCGTAATTTTCATTGACCCTCAGACCAAAGAGTCTCCACATGGGGAAGGGGCATCCACATCTCCTCCTTTCTCGCCTAAAAGCGCCAAGGCAGTGGGGCATGTAGTTGGATCCTCCCTGGCATCAATTTTAGTTAATCAGCCCACCAAACAACAGTGGGCCACATCACCATCGCCTGTATCATTCCGGCAGGAGATGGAGGCCAGAGTAGAGGAGAGGAAGGAGGAAAAGAGACTAGAAGATAAAAAAAGTATGTTGATCAGTATTATGGATACGTCACAGCAGAAGACAGCAGGGCTAATCATGGTCCATGCTACAAGTAACGGCCAGGCTGTTGGGCTGGGTTCAGAACTAGAACAGGCACCTGCCCCAACAACCACGGAGCCCAGCAAATCTCCTAGTCCACGGGCTAAATCCCCTAGTCCCACAGTCTCCCAGCCCCAGGCCCAGCCTCAAACTCAGCGTCCTGCCAGTCCAGCCCAAGAGAAGAGTCTGGCTCAGGGAAGCTCAGAGGAGGATGTGGATCCATACACAGTGACCCTGCCCCCTGCAATGTTGTCCTCCAGTGATGAGGAAACAAGGGAGGAGCTACGCAAGATTGGAGTTGTTCCACCACCAGATGAGTTTGCTAATGGGCTTCTTGCACAGACACAGGGGACGCCAGTGTCCCCAACTAAACCTGCCTCCTCTCCCAGCACCCCTACAACACCAACACCCCACACTCTCTCAACCCCAACAACCCCAACTGTGACCCCCACGCAGGCTCAGCCTCCCCAGCCCCCACCTCCACCCAGTGCAGCAGCTGTCTCAGGGAAGCCCTCTGATCCTCTTGAGCCCCCACCAGTGGGCGAGTCTGGCTCTGCGGCTGACTCAGGCGTGGAGGAGGCTGACACGCGCAGCTCCAGCGAGAGAGAGCGAGACCACCATCTCGAGACCACCAGCACCGTCTCCACAGTTTCCAGCATGTCCACATTGTCCTCAGAAAGCGGCGAGCCTGCCGACACACACACCACGCACACCTCCTATGCCGACGGGCAGACTTTTGTGCTCGACAAGCCGCCAGTGCCTCCTAAGCCCAGACTCAAGTCCCAGATAGGAGGCAGTAAAGGCCCTGTCACCTTCAGGGACCCTCTGTTGAAGCAGAGTTCTGACAGCGAGCTGCTATCACAGCAACAGGCTGCTGCCCTGGCTGCTGCTGCAGCTGGAGGTGTTGGGCTGCCCTCAGGTGGTTCAGCCTCAGTGACTGGACTAGCCCCCACCAAGCCACGCTACCTCTTCCAGCGGAGGTCCAAGCTGTGGGGGGACCCAGTGGAGCCTCGTGGGCCGGGGGTGGGGCTAGGTATTGGGAGTTTGGGCAATCTGGGTGGGCTGGGACTGGGGCTGGGTGCAGATGAGGGAGCAAAACCATCTGTCATGGGGGAGCTCAGTTCCCGACTACAGCAGCTAAATAAAGACACTAGGTCATTGGGGGAGGAACCACTGGGAGCATCACTTGACCCTGGGAGGAAGTCACCTGTGGCAGGTGCCAGGTAAGAGTAAAGCTAGTAAAATGTACTCCAAAACTGTATTTAACACTGACTGATGGAACAAAATGTTACATTACAAAAGCAATGATTTCAAGTCTCATTCATGTCTTTTAATCATATGAGACATCAGAGTTAGCACACTCAAGCAATTCCAGTGCCCAGTCTCAGAGAGAAGGCTCTTAAATTGATTAAAATTGCATACTGAGTTTAATTATTGTCTCTTGTTTATAATCATTTTATATGACTCTTTATTCAAAAGATTATTTTATGTCTATAGTGTGTCATGCCTCTTTGCTCTTGCAAGACAACTGGAAGAGAGATTACAAACACAGAGGCTTGCACTTATTCTTTAAAAGAAAAAATATTTGATATATTAGAGTTTGAAATCTGATAGCATTTCTTTGAAAAAAGGGATGCCTCTAGAGACTGAGTCAAAGACAACAGCTTCAAGTTTTATGTGCGTGCATGATGTGGTTTTTATCACATTTTAAAATATGCTGATGAATTCATATTTAAGCCTGTCCACTGTGATGGTAAGTGATAATGAGATCAGAGTTAGCTTCCTTGAGAATGTTAGTGTGACAACATTGTTAATATGTGCTGTTACTTTCTATTGCTCATACAGTATGTTACAACAGCAGTATAGAAAAGAGACAAAGACAGGCTTGCTTCTCACACAGCGACACCAGGGTTATCTGAAGCATCTGAAGCACAGTGCTGTTTTCTGTCTATTATCTGTGGGTTTCTTTTTTTCCCCCACCATACTTGAATCTACAATGAAGACCTTTATATTTCTGCAGATGTGTGGACACCGAAGAGAGTAAACCTTAAGGTTATAGCCCCTAGGGTAAACTTGAGCTTTTTTTAATATATATTTTTGCCTAACAACCCTATCAACTAATCCCATTTAAACAAAACAACCCTTTTATACGTTTTATTTCATGTATTTCCTTTTAAATATGATTTGTTACCTTGTTTGCATCACCTGATTTCTTGACTAACAGAATCTTTCAGAATAAAACTAAAATTAAAAAGAAGAAAATAGAAAATATTTGCCTATAGTACTGTGTTTTCAGGGAAAAAAAAAAGAGATATACAGTAGTACTACAATTGATGGCTCGGGTCTTGGATCTAAACTACTCTTTGTTTCCATAGTTACAGCTGTAGTTCTTGGTCTCCTGTTAAGTCATATGTGTTGTTAAGTACATACAGTTGACAGCAGTAGTCAATAAGTTAGTTACGCTGTTTCTCTGTGTGTGTAGGTGTGTGTGTGTGTGTGTGTGTGTGTGTGTGTGTGTGTGTGTGTGTGTGTGTGTGTGAGTGTGTCTAGTAGATTATCTGTTGGTGCAAACAAGGTAACAGGGCTTGGAGGCGTGCACTTGTTGAAGCCTCTCCTCATCTCACATACACTCTCACTGTTCGGTTCAAACCTATGACCCTGACAGTAGTTATCCTTCCAGCTTTTCCTTGAGCTTTTCCCAAAGTCCTTGTTCAAATAACACATAATACATCCTTATATCAACAACTCTTTGCAGCCATCACTGATATAAATTTGATAAGACCAGAAACTGTAGTTTCTTATCACTGCCTCCCACCCTCCAGTGAATATCAGTGATAACCTCAAAGATTTAAGGATGTATTTTCAGAAGTATTTGAACATGACTGAACTATAATGGTGTGTCATGTGAAACCATCCCCCTCATGATCTTGGCATTAATAGCCATGTTAATGACAAGACTACCAGACAAGGTCTTGACCTTGTTAATAGTTCTGAGGTGCCACATGGAGTAACTGTCAAATAAATGGTGGCGTCTTGTCTTCCCTTTTTATCTATTCAGGATTTGGCTTAGAATTTTTCTTCAGCTGAACAAGAACCTGCCTTAGCCTGGTTGTGTTTTTATGACGTGGTAGGTCGTAAGTTACTATCTGATGTCTGAAGAACAAATGCTGTCTTTTTTTTGGTTGTCTTAATCCATGAAATTGACACTAATTGATATACATTTTAAACTACTCTTCTGGAGACTTGTTCATATACAGTAATTTATCAGTAGAGATATAGAATAACACTTTCACAGAGCCCAGAAGGTTAAAGGCATTCTTCATAAGCAGTTAATTTTTATAGCCTTGCTCCTCTCCTTTCTTCTTCTCTCATCCTCATTTCGGTTTATGTGAATAAGGAGGGTGGAAAAATGATCTTTCATTTTCATTGTACTGCTGATTAAGAGGAGCTGAAAGATATGAAGAGACAATCTAAGACTGAGAAGATGATTTATATAGACTCAACTCCACACAACTGAAACCATAGTGCAGTCTCCATCCAGCTGTCAACTAAATTGGTGACATGGCTATCTCAGAAAAACAATGGAAAGTATTTCTAGAACTCATCAGTGTAGGGCTACTAGTTATTGGCCTTCCATGCTGACCAATGTTGGCGCTTGGCAACATTTTGTAACCATAACTGTTGTCCTCTGCATGAGAGTGACAGTGTAGTTTGGTGTCAACAGAAGTCTGCCGCTACTTGTTGTTGCTTCTGGACATCTTGGATGCTGGAATTGTGTAAGCATAAACTTTTCTGCATTGTGAAAGCCTCATAAGCATGTTTTGCAGTCCCATCCTTTTACCAGTATTGTTGTATTATTCCTAATAGTAGTCTGCTACCAAAATAGTTCGAAAAGCTCATTCATTCCGATTGCTTAAGACAATACCTTGCCTGGGTGACCACAAGCGAAATATGAAGTCACTATGTGACATTGAGCCAAATTCAGCCATCAATCATTATTCTGTATCCTCAACAACATCATGATCCCTGGGTGGACAAGGTGACCATGATATTAAATACAACATATCGTGTAACACTCACTTCTGATTGGGCTCATCCTTTCCTGAGGCTACGCAATCAAGGTCATCCCCACCATATCCATCCTGACAGTGATTGCTCTCGGCTGTGACAAAGATGATCATGCACACCATTATTTTCTCTCTCTCTCTCTCTCTCTCTCTCTCTCTCTCTCTTGCTCTCTCTCTTTCCTTGCCTCTGCATTTGTTTCTCCTCACCTACTGGCGCATTTCACATGTAGCACAGACATCCCAGCACCCTTAATGTAATGTTACCCCATCACTTACCCACTTGCCATTGTGTGCCCCATTTAAACTCCTTCAAAAAACACATATGCTGCCATATTTTGTCTCTCTTGTATCCACTTTGTCTCACATGCTGTGTATCATAGCTTTGGGTGGTTTAGAAACCTGTGGTCCTCATTTATTTCAGTTGTGCTCTTTGGTTTTCTGTTCTTCTCTGTTTATGTAATTTGCATAACTTTGTTTTGTTTTTCAGTGATTGTGTTGAGGATGGCCATGGTCCCTGACTGTCTTGCTTATTGGACACTGTAGGTTTCTTAAACCATGCTAAAAAAAAAAGAACAGAAAATTCAGCTATTTGTATTTTTTGATTAGAAAACATACATATACTCATCTCTTTTATACACATGCAAATGAAAATTAAAGGGTCAGTTTGGATGTTATTGAAGTAAATTCATTGCATTACCTACAGAAAACAGAGATTGGCACATCCCCAGTTTGAAGAAGGAGACAGAAGTACCAGCACCAAAGCTAAGCAATGTACTGTTGTGGCTGAGGCAACGAAACGTATTTTAGCCACCTAACAGAAGATCCACCTAAAGAAATCAATATCAGTTAGTCTATGCTATTTTCAGAATATTTTCTCTGCTTTACCTCGCTGTCAGACAGCCTTTTACAATGAGAAACTGAAGCAATTATATCCCTCTATGCTCAAAGCCATTCACAAAAACAGACATTTTACCTCACAGAACATGGGAGTTGCTGTTATAGCACTGCCTCAATTGGTTAGTTTGTTTTATTGTTTGATTTCTGTGTTTTAAAGGGTTAATTTGGATCCAAACTAACATTAGTTTCTGCAGACTGAGTATGCAGCAGAGCAGCAACTCCTGTGTTCTGTGAGGTAAAATTACTATTTAAAAGGAGTATGGTGGCTTTGAAGAGTGCGATATAACAGCTTCACTTTGTCGGAAAGGGATATCTGATGGCAAAGTTAAGCGGTGAAAATATTTTAAATATATTGTACATTGAAACTGATATAGATTTTTTTAAGGTGGCCTTTTTTTATGTGGCTAAAATACTTTTTTCTGCAGCCCCCGTCTACAGCAGTACACTGCTTAGCTTCTGTGCTGGTCGTCGTGTCTGCTTCTCCAAACTGGGGGCGTACTGAGAGCTGTCTACAGTGGGTAAGACACTGACTAAAGATAAGTACCTCATACCTCCACAATATCAACTAACCCTTTAATATACAAGCACAATACCTAGAATTATAGTTATTTTAAACCACTTATTTCAGAAGTTCCAAAGCAACCACAAGTCAAGGGACATGTGCCCACCTTTTATTTGTTCATTTATTTGTTTGTTTTTCTTTGTTTGTGCAGTGTTTGATATGTGAATAGTGTGCTCATTTCTCTCTCATGTAGCCCACTGGTCAGACCTTCGAGTGCTGAAGCCTACTCTGCTGTCTTTGTCATACTTGCATACATCAACAACACCATCACACACTCATACACACACACAAACACACACACACACACACACACACACACACACACACACACACACACACACACACACACACACATACATGTCCATGCACTCACAGCCATACTCATACAGCCACATATACACACCCGCACACATATATAAAGCATGTCAAAGACAGCAGAGTCAGCTGAAGCAGACTTTAAGTCTGGTTGGCAGGCTGCGTCTCATGGAGTGATGCTAACATTCTCTCCCATTGCTCTCTCTCTGCTCACCTTGCATGCTCCGCCCTGCTGCTCTGATCTGATTGGTCTAGAACTGACTGTGCGCCCAGGAGGGCAGGACGACTGTGTAAGTGCGCATGGAGCTCATCTCATATCCGTCGGCTCCTTATAGTCTGATCATTTTTTCAGCCTGTGTGCTACCTAGCTACCTTTTGTTTCCATTACACTCTACAGTCCTGATCTCACCCATATCAGAAGTTTCCAAACACATCCAGTAGAGGGAAAACATGTGCCACACCAAAGACACTTGTTTACATGCATGAATATAACAGACATCATTGCACCAATTCTTACCACATTTAGGCCTCTTTCTGCTTCTCCCTGCTTGCACAAAGCTACACAAAAATCTTATGTTAGCCTTAATCTTTAATCCATCCCTCCTCTCCTTTCTGACCATTGTTTCCTCCATTAGATCAGCAGTATACTAATAACATTTTATTTGTTTTTTAAAAAGAAGGTCAGATGTAAAAAGGTAGATAGACCAGCATTTATTGTACCTGTGGAATAAACTGGAGTTACTGTTGTTGCAGTATCAGATTCCAACATCTTAAGAATTATTGGCAGTTTGTGTTAGTACAATTCATGTTTCATTCTGCAGATGGTAAGATTGGGTTGGTTGGCCACTGAGATTCCCTTAATAATAGACTTACTGCGTTAAATTAAGTGTTAGCTGCACTTCAGAGGTAAATAAGTACTCATTTGATTAAAAATGTGCTACTTTGTGTATCCCCACATGGCCTTTAACAGCACTTTATTTTGTATTTTTTTATACGCTATAATTATTTGTCATTGAAATAAACTCAGATTTACAATTAATGTGCAAAGAAAAGCTGAAAACCAAATATGAAATCCACTCACTCTGTAGATCTGCCTACTGTGTCTAAATGTAGGTAAATGTGTGTGTGTGGGGGTGTGTGTGTGTGTGTGTGTGTGTGTGTGTATGTGTGTGTGTGCATGTTTGTACTGTATTTGTAATTCAGTGCTTTCAGGTTAGTGCTATCTGCAGTTTCAATGTAAAACACTGAATCTGTTTGACACTGTAATTCTAATGTCATAATTAACCTTTTGCTGTTTGTGGGTCACAGTACTCCCTTCAGGGAAGTGTACAGCAAGCCTTAATAGGAAGTAACTTTTGATTAAATTCATTAGAGGAAAAAGACTTTAAGTAATGAACCGGTGGACTGAGAGTCAGATGAGTATCAGTAAAAATAGTGCTATCAGTATAAATACTGCCATGTATTGCCTTGTATAGTTGATGTAGTTGACATATTGATACAATTCCCACATGATGTCTCATGATGAGTAACACAAGTTGTATACAAACCCGTAAATAATCACAGAAACCCGCATCCAGTGAGTGCAGCTTCCTGTTTTGATGATTATGTGACGTGAGACTAGCTTGGTCTGTCTAACATTCATTAACCTCTAGGCAAACTAACTTTACAAGAACTTAATGCAGCTTTATAAATACTGTATAACCCAAAGCTTTGTCTCCCTTTCTTCTTCTGTATTTTCACCCTGTTCACTTTAACTTTCTGTTAACATTCCTGAAACTCTCTCTCTGTCTCCACCAGACTTTTCAGCAGCCTAGGCGAGCTCCACACCATTTCTCAGAGAAGTTATGGCACCACATACACCATCCGCCCTGGCAGTCGTTACCCCGTCAGCCGACGCACCCCAAGCCCAGGTTCAGGCTCACCTGATCGGGGCGACCCTCTCGGACGATTCTCAAGCTTCGGCCTACCGACCTCACCGACTACACCGCCCCAAACCATCCTCAAATCTTCTAGCCTCAGCCTACCCCAGGAGCCTAAAGAGGTCCGCTTTGTGATGAGGAGCTCCAGCGCCCGTTCCCGCTCTCGCTCCCCGTCCCCGTCACCTTCGCATTCTCCTGGGCTGGGGTCACCACTTTTAGCCCTCCGGCCCTTCCACCAGAAGCCCCTCCACCTCTGGAATAAGTATGACGTTGGAGACTGGCTGGAGAGCATCAACTTGGGGGAGCACAGAGCAGGGTTTCAGGAACATGAGATCGAAGGGTCTCACCTCCCAGCTCTAACCAAGGATGACTTTGCAGAGCTTGGAGTGACACGAGTTGGACACCGCATGAACATTGAACGAGCACTAAAACTGCTGCTAGAGAGCTGACCCCTGCCCTTAGACACAGCAACACTTGGATAGAAAGATGGGCAAGATATTAGAGTTGATGGAAGAGAAAACATAAGAACTGCTCCTCTTTTACTCCAGCTGTTCCGCATCATAAATGTTTACCTGCGTCACGTTACGTTCCCGTTCTGCATTAATACCCTGCACTTGGCACTGCACTGAAGAGGAGGATTCAATACATTTGTCCCCCTCTACTTGGCCCTTAGTGTCTGCCCACCTCCTTGCCTGCAGCCAATTGGAGCAGACCTCAAAATGGGCTCTGGTCTTTCTTTGCCGAGGAGAATCGCATGAGCTCCAATTAAAACATTTGATTTGTGAAAGCTTCAGTTGTTCCCTTAGTAACACCCACACTTTCTCACTATTCCCTCCTCTCCTCTCTACCTCTATCCCTCCATCTATTAGGCCTCTGAAAGCCTTTTGCAGTTTGAGTAAAGGAGGAGGAGGAGGAAGAATTTTCCTTTTCAAACAGAAAGCTCAGTTGCCTTTCAAAATATTTATACAGAGATCAACAATGATGAACACAGGACTATGGACATAGTACTGACACAGCTCTGAAAAGGTGTGTCTTCTCTAAACCTGCTGTTGTTTTTAAACCGAAGACTTCAGATCCCAGAGGTGGAGCTCCACAAAGTAAACCACAGGAGAAACCCCCTCTGCCTTGGTACCCAGACTGTGCTATCTATTATATTTGGAGAATGTTTAACCAACACTCGTGGCTTTTTTCATAATCAATTTTTTGGTTTTCCAAAGGGAATATTATATATATAGGTATTATATAATGATATATATGTATCTAAATATAGCTTTCAGAAGAAAAGACAATGTTGCAAAGAGGAAATATAATAAATTAATCTGCGCCTGTTTTTGGTTTTTAGTATAGAAGGCAGAGAGAAATCTTTAAATTTATTCCACCAATAGTTTACTCATTTCTACCAATTATATACATATATACATATATATATTTGAAATAAAAAAAAGTATATAGATATGGAAATTAAATTTTTGTCATAGCTATACAACTTTCCTTATGGTCACCCTTTCTTGAACCGTAGCATGACAAGTTGCATTGTGTTGGACAGAGAGTTTGTTGTTTGTTTTTATTTTCTTACGGTCTTCCTTCATACTAAAGGGCATCCCATAATGTGAGGCTGAGACCCCAGTTGACACCCATCCCTACTGCTTCAGCTACAGATCTCACTGAAGTGGTTCTGACTTTATCCACAACCTACAGTAAAGACCACTTAAGGAGACAGCTAATTGGTAAAAGGTGCTCTTTCACCTCATCTTTTGCCTGTTAATCACTCAGGGATGGAAGTTTGGGGCACACACTAGCATGGAGAGGTAGTTGGCTCTTGTTTCAATACTATTTATTTAAATTCTTACCATTGAGGATAATTTAACACCACCACAGTCTGAAAAATGCTAGAGGGCTAGTAAAATTTCCATCCCTGTGACCCCCTGATTTACCTGGAGTATAATCAACAAAGACTTGTCATACAAGGGCTTAAATGAGCTAGACATAAAGTATCTGCCCTTCTGAAATGCCACTGTGGGTAATGTGTGCGTAGTTCATCAGGTTGTGGGGATGGGAAAGCCTCTGTAAGGTCTTAAAGAAAATTCAGTATTTTACAACTTGGCCGTGTCTTGCAACATCGCTGCTTCCCTGTATCTTTACTGTTTACTTAGTGAGTAAAGTATTATCATAAACGGAGGCAGCCAGAACTCTTAGAATAAGACCCAGGTTGTAAAACAAAACAACTGAATTTTTCTTTAACAATACAAAATCTACAATTGTACTCATGAGTAGCTTCTGCTGGCAGTGAGAAACAGTGAGTTTTATTCACGCAACAAAAAGCATTTTATCCATAGCTTTTCTCTAACAGAAGTCCAGGTAATCTCTATTACCACTAAAAACCTCCGTACATCAGCAGAATCCCGTCAGTACGCCAAGGCACTTTCACTTGGCGAGAAGTGGTGTGCTTCTTCTTTTTTTTCCTCTATTTTCTTTTTTGCTAACAGTTTGTAAAAGCGGGTGGTGAATATAACATTGTGTCTGGGTTGTAGGAATAGCACTCACTGCCTCACTGTGACCTCACTGATTATTTTATTTCTGACTCCAGTGTTACAGTATGTTCTCAGACTCATTTGGACTTTTTTGTGTTTATTGTTTTCTATTCTGTTTTTGTTTTGTTTTTTGTTGCTGATTTGTTACCCTCGGACACTGTGGGTAGATTTTGTAGCGTGTGGAACATTGAAATCGTTCACTCATTTGAATTTTAGAGTGACAGAAAAAAAGACAGAAAAAAACAACAAATATCCTGTCCATTCTAATCGTACTTACACTTGTAAAAAATGAACAAACTACGAATATTTGCTTTTTTTTAAAATCACAAGCAATGTATATATGATAGATTTCATATAAATTTTTGGAAAAACAAAAAGTATATAGATCTATATATGAATGTTTGGCATATATGCATAGTTAACCACCTGTGAAAAAGGTGAGCAGATTTTATTCTTTCTATGAACTCTTGAACTTTTGAACTCTGAACTATGAACTAGGGGATGATTTGCACAAAACAAGGTGACAAGGTGCTAACATAAAAGCCACCCAACGTCCAAGCGCATGTGTGCATCTGGATTCCCTGAATCTGTCTGTGTGGTCGTTCCTTTTCACCGTGTGTGTGTGACTGTGTGTGTATGTGTGCAAATGTTTGTTTGCATTGTTTGTGTGTATTTGTTTGAGAGAGAGAGAGAGAGAGACCAAGAGAATACACGTGACAGTGAGCGAGTGTATGGTTGATTGTTAGGGTTTACATCTTTGGAGTTAGTCCACTATAGCCTTACTGTATTACCATCAGAGATTCCCGGCAGTGGCTGTGTCTCACACACACGCGCACACACAAAATACATATACACACAAACAGAAAAATGCACACATACATTCATCTTCTATTCCAGATCATTGTTCTGCATTCTTGTTTGGTACAAAGTGGCGTCTTCAGAAAGTGGACTGTTCTGCCCAAGAGGGAGAGACAGACGAGAGAGATTACCACAAGGACCATTGTCACGTTTTATAAAGCAAGACAGCTGTATCTCACCTTGTAACTGTGTAGGTGCAGCTTATGCAGTGTCACTGTTTTGTAAACCCATTCCCAGATGCTATTTGCGCTTCTTACGCTCCACTCTGTCTGGCAGCACTCCTTTTTCCTTTTTCAGACCTTCAGTTTTTGAGTTTTGGATATGCTATATGAGGTGATCCAGTGAGGAACAACAACACAAAGGAAAAATGTGCCAAAAAATAACTTAACTTTTAACTGTATATTTGTCTTTGCTTTAGGACTATCTTAGTTACAGCATTCTTGAGCTGTTAGACTCAATAATATGGTGCCATCTCCTGGAAATCTTGAGAACTACAGATGTTTGTTAGACCCTTCTGTATTTCCTACAGATGGAAATGCAGTCATTATTATTTTGTAAAGATGCAGGCTATTGATACATACATATGTGTGTGTATGTGTATGTGTACACCACACACGCACACGCACACACATATATATATTTATATAGCCTGTGTATATCTACCTGTGAGCTTTGCATTAACATTTCTATTTAAAGTTTGAGACAAAGTATCACAATTGCTTGATTTTACTGTGATGAAGGTTATTATCCAGCTTGGCCTACTGTTCTCACTTGAGAGGTGAACATGTATAGTCTCACACAGGCTGGCCTGGTTAGAAGAAACAATGCTGTAGTGAATATCTGGTCCAGATGGTTGTGTAAGTTTACCACAAACAGATGCAAAATGATGCTACAGAGCAACGTGTAACACACTTACACATCATTAGGTCAAATAAGTTCAGTGAAGGTTTATCTTTGTCTTATTTTCTAATCAATAAAGCACAATCTACATAGAGTAGAGGGAGCAGTGTAACCTTTTTAAAAGCCCACTGGGTTCTGGTCACCCACTGGGACCAGTGATCTTATCATCAAAGGGTTTTTTCTTTCATTGTTGGTTTTCTCCTTGTTTGCACTGTGAAGTTTAGAATGGTGGATGTATCACTGCAACGCCTCAGCCTTGTCTCACAGGTGAACTTCCCCTTCTCAACATCCAGTGAGCAGGTAAATCATCTACAACTTATCTCCCAGCGACTTCTGGACGTTTTATAGTATTAGAGACATTACAAATCCCCCCTTCATTTTAATACATGAAAGCCCAAGTAGAAATAAAAAGTTAACCAGAAGCTACCTAGTATTCATAATGCAAACAGAGTAAGGGTGACAGGGAAGATTGAGGCAAGATCTGAGATGTTGCCTAGGATATCTCCACCACAGAGATATATGTTTGTTATATTATGTAATAAATTTATAATTAAAACATGAACTGCATCAAAGTCTTGTTCCTGCTAATTCAGTGTCTAAGTGGTAAATTTATGTTCCTGTGGGATTTATTGTGAGTTAATGCAACACAAAACAGCACTGAATGGGCCCTCACATTCTGCGTGAGTCGGGATGTGCTGCGGTTGCTTTATGTGCCAGCAAATCATGTGTAGACCAGAGTCCACATAAATCAAATGATGATTGCCATATAAGGCTTACTACCCGTTACCAGTAGGTGGTGCTATAACTGTAAATGAATATTGGCATGTAGATGTGTTCAGATCGGGACTCTTATCAAACATGAAGTTTGGTGCAGATTGGATAATGTACACCCAAATTGCACCAACTTCCTGTTTCATGGTGATGACATTTACCTATCAATGCAACGCCACAGACAACGAAAACTCACATTCTTCACAATATAGCATCATCAAGATCTTGAAGCTCTGAAGACCAGGTGGATCTGGTCAACCTTCTGGGATGAGCACGTCAACGTTTAAAACGTGTCACTTCCTGTTGCCAGTAGGTGGCACTATGACTGAATATTGGCATGTAAATATGTTCAGGCTGGGACTTCAAATGTGAAGTTTGGGGAAGGTTTGAACCAGGGACAGTCAAGTTGGAACTACTTCCTACGGTAAAACATAGGAATTCAATGCCATGGTTCAACAAAAATTCAAGCTTTTTTGACTTTTCATCGCAAAGATCTATAGACTGCACTGACCCAATTTCAAGTCAACACAATAAATTCTGTTGGAGGAGTTTGTTGAAAAATGGCACAAAGGAAAATCACTAAATTCACAATGGCCGACTTCCTGTTAGTTTAAGGATACATTTTTGTTTTTTTTGTATGTCTGGACGTGATACATGTGCTTATCAGTTTTCAGATGTGCTAAAAACATTTCAGCTTTGTGTGACATATGAGTGGTATATTCAGATTTCTTTATGTTTGGAATGTGAAATGTCGAGAAATTTAGATTTGTTGTCATAAGTCCCACTCATTATCATATCATAATCAGCAATTACCAAATTTCATGCATCAAATGAATCATGACCCTGTAACAGGCAAACCAAAATTTGTCCAAATCAATGAAGCCAAAAACATTTGGTTACCAATGTTTATATAAATTGTAACTTAAAGACACAAGTTTAAAAATGTATCATTTACAAACAGACTGATTATTATCATTATTATAAGAATTTTGGATCAGTCAAGTCCATAAATGATTCTGACTCAGTTTGAGGACGATTGGCCCAACGGCCTTGACGAGTTCTCGAAAACAGAAAACAGTTTTCGAAAAAACGTAGAAAAAGTTTGACATTTTTAGAACAGACGAGCTTTGGACCAAATATGCAGATTAATTGACTGGAAAGTAGAATTAAATAATTTTGACTCTAAGTCAAAGCGTTTGAGCCAATTGCAAAAAACATAAACTTGATTCTTACAGCGTAGTGTGTGCATTCTGGTGACTTTTAGTCTTAAAGTTTTTGCTTAATGATCACTTTTATCAGAGAACAGTAATAAAGAAAGAATAAAAAGAACAAAAATAGGTCTCCAGAAAATAAAACTGGTTCAAAGTTCTTCATTCAACAGTTCTGTTAATATGAATGAATGTACACACAACCACCTCAAGTCCATCATGAAGGACACAGCTGACTGAGCATTTCACAAGAGTTCAATACAGCTAATGTCTACTCGTACATGGCTGGTGGCTGCATCTTATATGCTGAGGTTGACTACTCAGTCCTCTTGAGAAAGTCAGAAAGAGACACATAACAATTTTTGGTTACATGGTCCATTAAATTTTCATTTAAAGGGCACTGAAAAACAGACTTTTACGTCATAAAATTAATGCAACAAAAGCAGCCAACAGATGCAGCTCCCCATTGGCACTGCACACAACACCACACACAAACACTGAGAACAGCAGCAAATATGGTTCATAATCACACGTTCTCCTTGTTCTGTGTGAGTTTGTTTTCAATGCTTCACATTCTTATTACATGACACAAAATAAGCAAACATTGAGTATCATTGTATTTTCTACTATTAATATAGTAGATATTATTCGACAATGTATGAATGATAACGCTAAAACAAATTAACCTGGTAAACAACACAATTCCTAATTATCCCACCAGGTTTATTTCCCTGCCAACATGCCACTGGACAGATGGAGGGCAGTGACTTAAAACCTGACTAAAACAATGTCTGCCAACCTTCAGTGGTAGAGTTACAAAGCAGACCACCAAATGGTTTGTAAGGACAAACAATGCGTCTGCTGATGGTGTCTGTCACAGAGAATCACAGATCTCTGGCATTTTGACTAATAACATAATCTATTCACAGCATCAACCCCAGAGGAGGATAAATTATCCATGAGACGAGAAGAGGGTTTGGGGAATCTGTAAACATCTATCAGACCAAGTCGGGACTCTCTGCTTTCAGTCCGTCCTCATCTGCTTCTGAATTATCTTCTTTCTTCTCCAGGTCAAAGTTCTACGAGATAAGTGCGACAAATATCAATATCAAATCAATACAAACATGTTTTCAGTCCAAAACTCAACAATTTAGCAAAAAAGAAAAGAAGATTAAATCATACATTTTCCGCATGAACAAGAAAAGTTGATGGTGTTGGACATATAATTCATATTAAGCAGGTTTGGAAAACAAAACAACAATGGCAGATTGTAAACCAGTGATGGAGTTTCTTAGAGCAATGTAGTATTGCATGATAAAACACACTTATATTCTTTGCAGCAAACCTCCTTTAATTAGACTTATTTAAAATTACACCTGCTTCAAAGAGGAACACAACACTGATCTAACTTTGGTTTGGTATTCAGAGAGGTGTACCTCTAATTCTTGCATCACTTCATCCATGAAGTCGCCGGGATTTTGCTTGTAGTCCACTGCTCTCTTGATCATCTCTCTGAACATCTGTTGTGACAGTTGCAGTCAGAACTATCAACACACAGGGTCGGTTCAAGTAGTCTGAACCGTTTATGAGATTATAATAAATTACAGGCTGAATTAATTTGATACTTTAGCGTCTCATTTTGAGAACGGCTGTCTTGTAAAATTACATACGGTTAACTGTAAAACTAGTAATGAGTTTGAAATGCATGAATGGTAAATGGATGGCAAATGAACCTGTACTTGCATAGTGCCTTTCTAGTCTTCCGACCACTCAAAGCGCTTTTACACTACATGGCACATTCGCCCTTTCACGCACATTCACTCAGTGATGGTAAAGCCCATCCAACAGAAACTAATGCATTCATACACATTCACGGCATCGGGAGCAATTCGGGGTTCAGTATCTTGCTCAAGGATACTTAGACATGTGGCACCAGGAGCCGGGGATCGAACCAACAACCTTCCGATTAGGGGACGACCCGCTCTGCCTCTGCACAACATGAAGGAATGAACTTAAGGATCACTGGCATTAACACTGCAGGAGAGTAAATAAAACATCAAACCTTTACTACATTAGTTCCATCAGCCGCTGATACAAAGTAAAATGGGAGTCCTTGCTTCTTCCCAAAGTTAAAGCTTCTCTGCGTCACCTTCAAATCAGCTGCACACAGGAAAAAAAAAAAAAAAACATCTTTACATGTTCAACATGAAACAATTAATCAAAAGGATAACCTACTTAACCTGCTGTAACTTTCACATGTAATACAATCATAAGAACTGAATATTCACTGTTATGTGCAATGTCAGAGCCGGACTCACCATCGATTTTGTTGGCAACCACACAACAGGGCACCTCCGGTCTGTACTCCCTCAGCTCCTTATACCAGTTGGCCAAATTCTTATATGTAATCTTCCTCTGAACATCAAAAACCTAAGTGAAAGAAGAGAAGCTTACAATAGAGTTTGGCCTTCTCTGCTGAGTGTGTGGCCCCTCCCCAGTTCAACTGGTGCAACGCAGCAGTCATCTAATAAGTCCTTGTCGACTTCTCTGTGAGAGGATCACAATCTTTATCTTCAAATTCCAAAACATGACTACAAAATGTACACTTGAGAGATGCATCTTAACCAGAATGCATTGTGATATTTCATCATTTCATCTGCACAATGAACAAAGCCGGACAAAGTGATAGAAGTGAAAACAAATATTTAGTTTTAGGCTATTATCTAATAGTGCAGATTATAAGTAATCAATCTGAAATCATTTATTCCTTACTTTTCTGAGTTAATATTCTCAGGAAAGGGCAGGCTAAATGATTACGTAAAGGCAGAAACCCAGAGTGCGTCTTACCATGATGCATGCATGTGCTTTGTGGTAATAAGAGGGATGCATGCTCTGAAATCTCTCCTGACCTGCAGTGTCCCAGAAATCTGTGAAAATCAAAATCAAAAAAGCATGCCTGCTGATTTATGCTTTACAGTAATAATTATTTTCTGCGGTCGCTGAGAGCAGAACAAAAACAAGTGCACAATACATACCGACCGCTACTGTTTTGTTTCCTACAGTGGCTGTGTGTTTGTAGAGAGTCAAAGCATAGGTTGACAACTGCTGGGGACGACTGCAGAAAGAGTTAAGTATCTTAACCTCTCAGGACAAACGATCTGCAGGATGTTCGTGTGCCCATAGTGGCTGTAGTAGGATTACATAACACGACATACAACAATCCCTGATACAGATGTTTTATTTTAAATTTCTAACTCTGTTAAAGGATACTATTCGTCCATGAGAAACCTCTCCATCAGCCTACGAAAGAGAGAAAAACAGTCGATGTAAACGCAAAGACAACAGATAGTCCACTGAGAAAAGTTAAAACATACTATAAATCACAAAACAGTTTATTACAGCTAACACTCACTTCGATTTACCGACCGCGCTGTCTCCCAGACAGATGATCTTCACTTGCTCGTCTGCATCGTACTTCTTTTGGTCCAGTTCAGGGATGCTGCCAGCGTCGCCAGCCATCTTCCTCTCTTTTTTTCCGCTTTGACTGGGATTATTGTATAAGCCAACGCGTGCCGAGCTGAATTTAAAAGCACCTGAACAATGATCTAAGCTCCTATGGGAGCTACGTTAGCATCTGACGGCTACTGCTGACAACGAGTATGAGTGTTAGCTATTGCTTGCCATCGTTCAGCTCCTCACTTACAGAGCTGCTGCTAACTGACACTGTGAAGTACAGAGACGAACACTGGCGACATTTGTGTTTTTAAAGTCTCTTGTGAGCGCTGTGGCGTCAACGTTACTTTCAGAGAGGAGCCGGAGCAACCGAAGGAGGCAATGGCTGCTAACCGTCCGCTAGCGCCACACCAACCGAATCAGCGTCGATAGCATCGGTTAATCAAACATCCAAATGTCGCTATTGTTGTCTATCACACGGGAAAGTGAACAGATTTTTCCTAAACTCACCGAGGTATCCACATATTATTAAATGTTTGTTGATGTAGATGCATGATGGCGCTCCCCCCCCCCAAACCGTTTTCGTTTCTACGCAACGGGGACGCCCGAAGGACCACTTGGTCGTCATGGTTCCTGCTGTCCTTACACGTGCCTGTCAAAAATGGTGTACGAGTGTGGTTATTTATTTATTTAATGTGTTTTTACGAATAAAAAGTGCAAGACCAAAAGCTGGTGTATTTATGTTAGTTTTATCACTATTAAGCTTGAATTGCCATTTTTCACACATATGGTCTATTGCTTTTTGAAACCTTCTTTTGTTGTGGACATTATAATTGTGTTGTCTGTTTAAGCTGTATTTAACTATTATTATTGTGTCATCAAAATTAATAGCCATCCATCATCTTGGTCATTGATAAATAATGCCAACAATGGGGACAAATTTTCAGCCTGTCTGCTAGGCTAGTAACAAAGTCAGATTTGTTGTACATATATTACTTCAACCAAGAATTATTGACCTTTATGACCTGCTTTGAGCAGTTTGCACTGGAGTGCGCGCTCAATAACTGGCAAATCGTTTTGAGTGTCAGGTGGGTGCTGTCATACTTCATTCAGCCTCACATCCTTAGAAACACATACAAATCCATGGCTCCATCAATGGTGTTTTATTTGCCAGATCAACAGGCCTCTCTTAACCAATATCATTAATATTGGCTTCATTTGATCCATCTTACATGTCATCACTTGTGCTTTTGCTGCTATAACAATTACAATTGATATTAATTAGTTACCTACTTAAATTTTTTAACTAACCAATCAAAATAATTAACAGTTTTCTAAACCAACAACCTTCAAAAATAAAACTAGTCTTACTAAAATTTCTGGTGACATTTCTTTTTAATTCTATACAATTTACTTCAAATTCTGCTATTAGTCATGCAGACAAAGTGACAAGTACCAATACAACAAGGCCTGTTACTGTGGCAATAAAGTATGATTCTCAGTAATCTTGAGGAGTTTGCTTTTTGTACTTTATTCGATACTGCTGTGTGATCAATCACATTATTCAGGCGCATCTACAATGAGGGGTGAGATGAATTCTGAGTGACGCAGTCCAAAGGAGAAGCTCGGAGCTTTTGGTCTTGTGAAGGTCACCTAGGAGGAGAAATATGTCAGTGAGAATGAACAAAAGGTCAAATATTTGGGGCCTTTGTGATAAACAAATAAGACACCTCTTTTGCTAATTATACTATTCAAAATATGAATTATTGATTATTAAAATTGAATGTATTTTTAGTTTAATTTAATAATTAATTATAACTATTTGTATAGGTTTTATTGCTTAAAACACCACGTCTGGTTGGGTTTTTAATCATTTTTAAGGGCTAAGCCAAAATTGTTCAAATCGACTGGACCAGGAGCATTCAGATTCTGTGGCTGGTAGACTTAGCTCCTTTCAAACTTCTCTGTCTTCGGCTTTATTGCTGAAACACGTATTACGACAGAAATACTTACTATACTATATACACCACAGTAATCGGAAAAGGAAGGGTGGGGTTTGGATTACACAGCAGCAGGCGCTGAGACAATCACCCAGCCAGATTGGTTGGATGGGATCAGCCCACCAGCGGTACAGTGATCGCCCCAGGATGAGAGGAAGAGAGCCAGGATAAGAGAGGCATGCTGGTCCAGCTTGGAGTTATGCACGGTGGTCATGATGTGTTTCAGCTTTTCAGTCATTCCCAATTTATGCAATTCTAACACTGTTTATGGACCCCAGTCTGCAGAAATATTCAAATACACTAGGTGAAAATAACACATTTATACCACATGCAAAAACTGCATGTTTTTTTGCCCCAAACTCTATGGGATTAGCATAAAGTGGGTATGTCTGTAAAGGGGAGACTTGTGGGTACCCAAACATCCTATTTATATTCATATATCAAGGGAACCCTCTGAAAATGGCCATGCCGGTTTTTCCATTGCCAAAATTTAACCTAACTTATTATTAGTATTATTTAGTCCCCCTTCCTCACATGCTGGTTGCAATTGATACATTGGGTTAGCTTGTTTCATATGATACCAATATCTTCACTCTAGCTTTAAAACGGAGCTGCTACAGCCACTGAAAGGCAATGCAGAGTGGAAGAGGTAAGGATATTGGGGTGGAACTATGGATGGCCAATCAGATCTCCGGGGCCCCCCCTCTGGAGACACCCCTGCTCAGGCTGGCCAGACAATGGGAAATCAAAGATTCCACATCTTTACAGACACGTGCTCCATCAACAGCTTGTAGCTCAAACACAGTCAAAGTGGATGGAGACTGTTGAAACCATATTATCATCAGTATCTTGTTGCTGCTGTTTAAATTCCCCCAGACACAAATTCAAAAGATGCACTGCAGAATTATTTCCTGGATGAATAAGTGTTCATGTATTTTTTTCTTCTTTCTTCTTATGAATTTATTTCTCTCTTTCTATGTGTGTAGTAAGAAGGAACTGCACATTTTAATTTCTTTATACAACCTTGCGTTAGATATTGATAAATACATTTCCTTGACTCCTTGAATATCTTGTTGCTGCTTTTTACATTCCCCATAGATTCAAAAGATGCACTGAAGAATTATTTCCTGGTTGATGTGTATAAATAACTGTATATATTGGTTTTAATCTAATTATTTATTTATATGTGTGTAGCATGAAAAAAACTACAAACTTGTTAATTTTGTTATACAACCTTGTGCTGTATAATGATAAAAACATGTCCTGGATTCATGGATTGATTCTTTAAATTGATTCTTACCTGTTCAGGATAATGAGCACCGGGTCCTGGTTTCTTTGTGGTTTCACCTGGTGTGAAGTTGCGGCCTGTCATACTATACTGGGGAGGTTTTTGGCTGTAAGTACATGGGTCCACAACTTTGTAGGCAGCAGGGCCAGGAGTCTAGAGGGGAGGTAAAAGTATAAAGAGCAAGAGTCAATCACAGTTTTTTCATATTTTTCATTTTCACTTTTTTAAGATTGTTTTTATGACTGTGTATTGTATGTACCTTCTTCAGGTCTTCATGGAAGCTTCCATTTTTGCTGCGGCCACAGAGCGAGTAGGTGGGAGCTGCAGCTGTGGCCACAGTTTTGGGCCCCAGCACCGGCGGCAGAGAATAGGAGGCTGGACCTGCCAGTATGAGCAACAGGTGAAGTTTATATTATCTGTGCCATAAATAACATTGTAATCCACTGTTTAAATTGACACCAAATGGAATATGTTACCTGGTGTTTGGCTGTTGCTGATTTCTTTGCTCCTCCCAGCTAGAGAATAAGCAGGAGCAGCGTGAAAGATCAGATTTCCTGACTTCTCTGGGGAATATTTGCCTGAAACATCAAAGACAGTTACATAAAGACACTGCTGACAGATAAACTCAAGTGACAGTCAGCATCGTGACAAAAATGGCATATCGTCAGCTTTCAGCGGGTAGACGGGCAGTATTTCATTTCCATGTGCTTTGACAAAATCTATTTTATGTGTAAGAGGTTTTGCTGACCTGGTCCAGGGGCTTGGAACAGTGCTGGCTCCTTTGGACGGCTGTGGAGTGAAAACGCAGGAGTGCCATCTCGGCCCCCTCTGGTGATGTTGGAGGGGATGAGGTATCTCGGTCCAGGTGAGCAGTTAGAATTGGCCTGATCGTGACGTATCCCAAAGCTGAACATTGGTGCTTTGTATTTAGTAGGGTCATGTTTTGAAATACCTTTATGGAAGAAACAAGGAAAGACAAGGTCAATTATGATAATAATGGTGTTGGTGGGAGAAAAAAAGCAAGTTAACAGCCATTTTAGCTTTACCAGTGAGTCCAGGTAGTGCATACTTGGGCCCTGGGCTACCGTAGAGGGCAGCTATGGGCCCTCTTGGCTTGTGAGGCCTCCAGCTCCCAACCCAAGCTTCAGCACTTGACATTGCCCTGAAGAGAGAGAGAGAGAGATGGATTCTGACCAATTTCTTTTGGTTTTTAAGTTTATTAAGTAACTTAAGTTGGCATGAAAATATATAGCTGAATGAAATGTTCGGGGTATAAAAACCAACAAAACATTAAGACAAAAGCATAAAAACATCTAAAGTGTGTATTACATTTAGTGATATACAGCTTTCTGTTTCAGTGGTTATTTCTAACGTTAGTGGTAGCAATTTCTGTAACTTAGAAATCAATCTTCTTAACATAACTCAGGTTACACAGCAGTGAAAGGTAACATTAGTACTCACTATCACTGGCAATCTATTGTTGAATGATACAAAATTTTGAGCAAGCCACTATGCTAGAATAAAGGCCTGGAGATTGGTCATTTGTGGGTAAAGTGAAACCGTATGATGCACCCAAAGTAGCCTGTTCCAAGTGCAGAAAAATGCCATCAGTTACTGCTTTCAGTTAAGTTCAGTAACTGTCTTAAAATAAAAAGTTTAAATGATTTTACCTCATTCAAATCCTGATCCTGCTGTGAGTTTCCCTCTTTATTAGGTTGTATCCCCCGGAACTCAGCATGTGCACTGAATCCAAACACAGATTGTTTATTGCTTTTCAGCTTCACTATGACAACGTTGCCATGGAGATGACTCTTTTGACATGCTTAATATATGTGTGTGTGTGTGTGTGTGTGTGTGTGTGTGTGTGTGTGTGTGTGTGTGTGAACAGTGCAGGAATTTAAAAAATGTGAATACATAAAACCACAGAATGCAGATGATGTAAATTATTTATTAGGTATGAAAGGTTGAAACAGGCCACAGTATCACACTGGACGCACTGTTTGGATCTAATCTACTTAAACTAAAATACAGTAGCTTACATACAATTGAACATATGAAACAACAATTAACCTACAGTAAACATAGTATTAGTGTCATTATTTACTTCTTATTTAGGGGCTTTATTGCCCTCTGTGAGTGATGGTAATGTGTGAAAGGGGTAAAAACAACATGAACGCAACATTTGAGTGTACAGCGCGAACTAGAGAGACTCAGCCATATGCTGAGACAGGAGGGGGGAAATCATAGGTCTTATTACAAGGTTGGCAATTTATTTGATTTACTAAAACATATTGACAGTTGAATCCACACCCATTGTGTACTTGTGATATTTTGGAAAGGGGAAGCTATATTTGGGTGGTAAGATCTGGAGGGGGACTCCAGAGGCCAAATCTTACCCAGGGCTCCAAAAAGACGACCCATCCTAATCAACCTTTTTCACAGCAGATATTTTAGACAGAAGAACAAAGGTGTTACTAATAACATCAACAATGGCTCTGTTTAATTCAAGTGTCCCAGTAAGTCATGGCAGTGTGACAGTGAGCCAACATGCACGACACCAGGACCCGGAAACTGAAGCAGCTAAATGGAATTCAGCTATCACTTATTGTATTATTTACTTTTCCTGCTGTGATATGTCAAAATGTCTTCTGTGAAAAAGAACCTTTTGCACCTCTTAAAGCTGCTCACAAGCAGATGCCCAAGATCAAATACCTCCAACTTTTAAAATAAAAACTGGATATGGACTCTTCAAAGTGTAGCATTGGTGCTGCAGGACCTTGTGAGGTATCTGTAGTTGTGGAAGGTTTCTCTCAAACTCGCCTTCAGGACCTTCATCAAAGCTGCAAGGCTTCCCATTTCCTCTTGGGGGCGCTGTTGGTTAAAAAATTAAATTAAATTAAACTATACATCTGTATATCATGTAAGGATTTTATACTGTAATTCCACATTTGTTTTACCCTTGTAAGTGTCCGCATCAGTCGTTGCAGCACTGCCTCTTCTCTGTGTGGACACAGGCTGGTCACCGTGCTCACACAGCTCAGTAGACAATAGATGGTGTGTCTCTGTGGCTGTGATGGTGTAATATAGAAAATAACATAAGAGGTTTAGAGTACAAATGTTTCTTAAGAAAGATACTAAGCATAAAAAATGACTTATTAGTGGTGGAAGAAGTAGTTAGATTTTTTACTTAAGTCAAAGTATTGATACTGTAATACACCACTACAAGTAAGTAAGTAGTTTTTTTTTCTTACCTTCTTGAGCACACTGAGAGGCTTCCTGTTTACTCCACTAATCAACTTGTTCACATCCTCTGCACTCAAAACAGGCTCCTGGATGGTTGAAGGAAACAGAGAAAGGACTGAGAAAAAGAAGTTTGCCATAGTATAAAAAGTGTAAACTGAAATGTATTAGCTTATGGGGTCTTTTTTTTACTTTACAGCCATGTGACATGTTGGTAATACTGACACTCTTGTTTAATTTCACTGACCCTTAACTTGTCCAGCCAGGTCCACAACAGACAACTGAGAACATGAGGATCTGACTCTGTGACCAGCAGAGCCCAGCCACAGTCGCTACTGTTCAGTTCCTCCTGTTGAAAAGGTGAGTGACAGTATCAACTGAGTACCTTTAGGGTTCAAAATCAATATGTTCTGATGTAAAACCAGGTTTGCACCAGTGTTTTTCACCTGCAGCAGAGTCGATCTTTGCAAAATGGTTTCTCCTGGAGGACTTTGGTCTGCCATTGCCTTCGCAACAGCACGGGCAACTGTGGTTGGACCTGGATTCTGTGGATTTCTGCACAACTTCATACAACAGATCATAATATTTTAAAGCATTCACATCAAAGCTTTCATTATCATCAGCTTTCTTCACAGTGAAAATCAGTTACCTCATTGTTGGAGCTGTATTTGGGAAGTGCCTTTTTAGCTGTGCACTTAGACCTCTTAGCACAGTTATTGATCGTTCTCATGCTAGATATTGGGAAGTTGAGTATGTGAGATTCCTTTTCTGTGATATGGTGGCCTGGTGATGGTGCATGGATCGGACTAACTGGTCTCAGATCAGGTCGTATTAGATCCTGCATACACCAGTGTCTCTCATTGCCAAGTGCTGGGGTGCCGTATGGACTGAACTCCAAATCCTTCAAGACAGAAAGCAACAAAGTGAGAAAAGCCTCTAGGACCAGTTTGATTTTACAGAAGACTTTCAAAAACGTTATGTAATTTTGGAAGACTAATGTGAAACTGAACCTTTACTGCGATCTTGCTGAGGTCAGAGTCGCTGTAGCTGCGTTTGTCCAGCAGCACCTCTCTCTTCCTCTCCAAGAATCCCAGTGGCTCGTCCCAAGAGGATACTGACCCAGAGCCCTCCCACGAGCCTTTACGACCCTCCCTCAATAGGGGAAGGTACTGTTTGGCCACCAGGGTCTCCCTTACAGTCCTACCCAAGGTCTTCAGTGCTGACCTCTTCTCCAGCTCAGCCTGGACCTCTGGAGGAGCAGGGAGATCCAGGGCTAAGCAGGAGAGATGCACACATAGGAGGTACACCACCTAATGATATGGTCAAGACAAGGTCAGACAGGTGGAGGTGGTCAAGGGTTCTACATTTTATGACACAGGATTAATGAAATATAATGATAAAGTCTTGACCTTGGGTGTGTGTCGGAGGGTGCGTGCCTCCTGGCCATGCAGCAGTAGTGCCTGTCGGTTTAGGTAGTGCTGCAAGGTGAAAGGGGCTCCATGCCGCAGGCTGAGGTCTGGGTATTGGACCAGCTGTGTACAAAGCAGGCGAGCAAAGTCAAACACCTGGCTGATCTGTGTCCGGGTTTGGATAGAGCGAGGCCGTTTAATCCGCACATAGTGGACAGCCTCACTCGGGCTGATGCGCAGGGTGTAGACCAAGTAACAGGCTATCAGGACACCTGTTGAGCAGAGACAAACACATCTAATAAATATGAGAACACTACATGTGCACAAGCTAACATGAACAAGTGCGATCAAGTGTGTACATGAACAGCAGATGCAGTGTGTATGTTTAGTCCTACCTGTTCTGCCCAGGCCTGCATGGCAGTGCACAGCAACTCTTCCTTCCCTCACTGCAAAGGCCAAAACCTTCACTCCATCAATTATACCAACGAGAGAGGACACACCAAAGTCTGGCATCCCAAAGTTGTAAAAGTAAACTGCAAATATACAAATATACACCCACATTAGGAACAGTATGGACATTCATATGGATTAACTATATCTGTAGGCTACTTTATAATGTAGTACACAGTATATAATGTAACTCATAGTAGTGTGTGGCGATAGTGATTCCCCAAGCCACGACTCAAGGAAAAGGAACTTGAGAATCAGTTTCCAACCACACAGACTTTACTTTAACAATGAAAAAAATGCCTCAAATGGGTAAGGGGATTTAATGAAACCAATAAACATAAATAAGTAAGTCTGCAGGCGGCAGGTAATTGTGAGGCAAGGAAACTCTATGTTCACTTTGTGTTCATTTACAGTTACCTTTCACTTCTAATGACAAGAGAGACAGCAAAGAGTTCCGCGCCAAATAGGGACCTCTCTTTTGCCTTCAAGAATCATTGTTGAGTAGTCAGTCCCCACACCCTGTGCAGCAGGTGATCTGAATGATCCTCTACTCAACCCGGAGCAATGTTGACATTGAGCCAAAATTAATTTGAAAAAGGAATATTAAATAGCAGCAAATACAAATGAATGTGGGACTGCTACAAGTTTCTGCCCTGGTGGCACAAACCATCTCTCATAATATTTGTTCAAACCTTAACTGCTTCTGTGAATTCCCATCTCCCACTTTGTGAGAGGTATAGATTTAAAGAGTCTTAAGAGTGAAATTGTCTCATCAGGTAATGTCCAAAAATATCTCCCATGTTGTGTAAACTATAAATAATAAATATCTCACTGTCATTTTCCATGAAGATCTGTGGAGAGTATGTGAAACCACTTTCAGGGTCTAAGGGCGGTCCACAGTGAGCATGCTCTCCTGGAAGCTGCATGTTGATGATTGATCTGACGTTCAACCTGGGAAAAAGTTATAAATTGACACTAATGACACAAGTGCAAGACATATTCTACTTATAATAAAGAACAATATATCCACAATTGGAAGAATTGATTAGTGTCATTAAAAAGCAATTATTTCAGACATCTTGTCCTCATTTTACCCAATAAAAGAGCAACAGAGTTCTTTTTTTAAAACCACTCCTCATCTAGATTTGTTTTCCATTAATTACCTATATGTGCACAGGGGGTTGTGCAATAGGAGGCCCTAATGCTGTCACACCTTGTAAGAAGGCTCATAATTCCTACTACTACAACTGCTCGTGTATAATTCATATCCACATACTACACAGTCACACGGGAGAAAGAACACAAACATTACAAGAGTGATAATGAACAGTTATAACCTTCGAAATTGTTCTATGATGTTGTACTTCTCAATTAGACGATTTGATGGGCGTGCCATGGCAATAATGTCATCAGTCACCCTGCAATAGGAAGAAGTTCATAATCAGTAAACTATCGCTTTGAAACAGCATGAAACACGGCAGCATCTATGAAACTGCAGTCACATAGTCTCACCAGGAGGAGAAAATGCCGCGAATGACCTGCTGATTTAATTTCCAGCACTCTGGTCCCTCATAGCGACAGTCTATTCCTCCACAGGCCAGCAGACAGAGGAGTTTGGGTGGGATTGCCTTCACCAGGTTCTCCCTGGCCTGGGTGTAGGAGGGCCGTGGTACTGGTAGGTGTGAGGTCGGGGTCGGCATCATCCTGCACCAGGGGAAACCCCCAAGATCAGCCTGAGCTATCACACACTAGACATGAAGGACTATACCCCCAGCTGGCAACCCCATGTCACCTTCTTGCCAGTGTATGTGAGCTTTTAACAAAGATACAGCTCGTTAAATTGACACTTTGTAGTTTGTGCTATTACGTTTCATTGCAATCTTGCATATTGTGCATGAATCTCTACTAATACTAAAGTTGAGTTAGCTTCTGCTTGAGATGTATTTATCCTAAATTCACTTTACAAAAAATATATAAATAGGATATTCTATATAATATTCCAATATGATATCAATGCAATCAATCCAATTTAAAACTTACCTTGCTTATTATATTGGACCGTGACACTGTAAATCCCATTTAATGTATTTCCAGAGTTTAAGAGCGCAGGGAATTGAAGAAAAAGCAGCAGAACACACATGTGCTCCTCCTTGCTGGCCCACCCTGCTGCTTACAGATACACACTCACACACACACACACACACACACACACATACACAATTGTGTGCTGACCCAGCTTCACTAAGCCTGATTAGCTGTCATAAATACATTAGAACAGACATTCACACATTACAGCAAGCCAATTATATAATGCTTATTCCTTCACCTATAAACAATGCATGAAGGTAATATTACCTGGCACCAGCCAAACCTTCATATACGATTTTACTGAAATTCTGATGTAGAGAAAATATTAATTGTTGATCTCACTACTATTAATAAGCACCCATAGGGTTTGCGTTTACTCTAAAAGAACAATATGTTGTTCATGTGTCCTGGTCTCATATCCAAACACACCAGCACCTTCTCTTCCTTCACCACTTACCAACTATCTAAACAGGATTTAACATATGGATGAGTGGAATAATAACTTTAAAACAAGTAGTTGTTGAAAAACTATTACTGTACAACTATTATGTGAAAACTGGACTTCATAAAATCTATGAAAGTAGTTTTATTCAAATGGCTTCAAGTATGATAGAAAATTGACACATATGACAGGATTATTGTTTTGTGCTGGTGCAGATCACCCAGTGTCTGCTGGAGTGGTTCTGGACATATCGCCCCCTGTAGTGCAGCAATGGTAACAGCGTGATGATGATGATGGGGATGAAACCAGCACTCTTCTCCCCTTAAAAATATTACCATATGAAGGATTTAACTCTCTAAACCTTATCATTGCCTATAATGTGGACAGAAATTAAACACAACAATTGCTTTATTTACTTAAGTATCCTGTTACACATTTTAGTACAGGTGCATGGTGGGGATCCATGGTGAGCATGCTCAGATATGCCCTGAATAATATTGTCCATCCTAAGTGTGAAAAGACATTTTTATTATTTGTAGCAGAAACAGAATTACCATACAAGTATGTTTTATGTAGTCTTACTGAAATGTTTGGAACAACAAAATTATATTATTGCAAAAGGAAAGATTAGAAAAATATTAGAAATGTTTAAGTGTTCCTCTAAATTTCAACAGATGCCTACATGGCAAAACATTTAATAAATATAATTAAACATCGTGTTTTAAACAGTGTTACTGTCCACTGTCACCTTCACTTCATGCACACTGCTACAGACTCATTCAGTAAACAACCATTTGCCAACCTTAACATGTCAAACACAGAACCATATTGATCAGCATGTTATCTCTGCATTTCTCTCCTAGGCATCATGGAACTGCAGTGCAGGTCATGTAGGCTCAATGCCTCCCTCAAATGTACCATTTATGGGCGTTTTAGATGTACAACAACTCTCCACTTTGAAAGATTTGTAAGACAGCCACATGGCAGTTCTTATTTTAAAATAAGCTTGTCTGCGTGGAGCTATTTTAAACATGCCGAGGCTGTATATTTTGTTGTGCAGACTATCTTAGACCACTCGCTAGCTTATACAAATATAATATATATATATATATATATATGACAATGCAAAGATATAAGATGTTTCACGAAGCGTAGTGGTTTGAAAGTAATATTTATCCAAAGACAGGCCAGCGACAAGATCTGTCTTCAATCACAGGCTTGAACAGAGTTTGCAGTAAAATACCTCTTATACTTCCTCTTATCGGACACATTTCCTGATAGATGATGCCAGTTTTTCTAGTGTGTTATTATGAAACAAAATTTGAAAAAGAAAGCATGATCTGATGTGACCTTCTGTGAATACAGCAGTCAAAATGTCTTAATAATGTATTTTGAATGGGTTCATGTAAGATGACAACTGCTTGTCCTCAACAATGAGTCCAAAACACATAGATTTCTTTTAACATTGGCTTTATTCAGAGCTTTTTTTGCAAAATATTTTTAGCGAATAGTTTTAAGAGTGGCAGCTTCAGCGACTGCAAGCATAGCTTGGAATGTATACACAAATAAATTGATGGGCAGGTATGTTTGAGTTCCAAGAGGGGTAGAATAATTAAGAATATAATACAGTATTTGCTTCCAGACAGTACAACAAACTCAGCATTAAGCCGCTGCAAAAAAAAAAAAGGACAGAAAACCACAGCAAAAACATGCTACTTAACTGTGTTGCACTGACACTGGCCATGTGTCAACACTGGAAAAATGCTTACTTCCTCCTTTTACGGTAAAAAAAATGATTTTCTGTTTGAGTGGATAGAAGAACTGGAATTTTTATTAAATAATGTTTTCATGGTGGTTAGAAAAAAGAAGATAGAGGAGTGAGGACAATTTCTCAAATGTTAAACAAGACAGATCCTGGTTTATAGTGAAGTCAAGTTGCAAAGAAGCAATGAACACTCACACTGGTGTGGTTCTGCTGTACCACACACATACATTGCAGCACAAGAGGAAGTGTCTTATTGCATTATTTTGTCTTTCATAAGGCAAGAGTCAATAAAGCATTTTAGGAGGGAGCATGGCGTAATTATGAGATACAGAAAGGATTACTCAGATTTGTGTAAAGAGGGACCGTAAGGCACAATGTTCCTTTTTAGATCCATTTACTGGGAGGCAACGTAGTTTCACACTACCAACAAAAACTATCTGTGAAATCACCGCAATCCTCATCCGTCTCATTCTATGGGCGACAGGCCTTTACAGAAATGAGTTGGTATGAGATTGAGGACAAAGCAATGAAGAGCAAAGGGTCTGCAAGGGAGTCACATATCCACAAAGGGCTGTGGAGATGGACAACTTATGGCTCCCAACAAGTTGTCCTTCATATTCTCCAACCTATGCTCAACAATGGTTATAAGTAAGTCCAACAAATATAGAAGTGGTTCATTACAGCAAACACTGACTAGACAGGAGCCAATGTGTGAAGTGGAAAAACAACTCCTGTCACTCTATTGCTTGTTTCCATGAAAATTCCCCAACTGGCCATTTGCTCATCACGCAACTGAATGTGTAAATACAACCTGTTGCCATGTAAGAGTTTGGAAACAAAAGGAGGAAAATAGAGACTATGTCAAGAGATAATATACTAAGAGTATTGATAATAAAAGAAAAAATATGAGATATTAAAAATTTCCCAAAGATGATTATATAGTCCACCAGCCTTGTCCTTTTTTGTGAACATTGGTGGTGGAAGACCAAATGTTGATGGATCGAATGTCTGTGCCTTCTCCTGTCCTGTGGTGTTCAGTCTCTCTCGCATCTGTCCAGCTGTTCCTTCATTAGTTCTTGGACAACTCTTTGGATAGCCAGTCAAGTCCTTCGTAGAGCCCAGTGCCCTGGGTGGCGCAGGTTGACTGAATGTGCCACTGTGGGGTCAGAGATTATATGGCAAGAGTTAGATATGAACGCAGCTCTGCGCACAGTTACAGGTTTGACTTTTACTGCAGGTGTAAGGAGCATGTTTCGACTCAGATTACTTACAGTTTTGTTGCGGAGGGCGTGTAGGCCGAGTTTGTCTGTGAGTTCACTGACTGATAAGGCATTGGGAAGGTCCTGTTTATTAGCAAACACCAGCAAAACTGCGTCTTTCAACTCATCCTCCATCAACTAGAAGGGCAGAAAACAGATTAGAACATCAGTTCTGAGATTTCATGGCAAAACACTAAAAACAGATCTAACTGTTCCAGTACATGAATTTACAGTGAGATTATACGACTGGTTTGTTGTGAGTCCTTAAGGGGAATTTCTTAAGAAGTCTAAATTACATTTTACAAGTCAGTTTTAGAGAAACATTATCTGGTCCATGTCCCTGATATGAATGAAATAAACAGACACCTTTACATATTTTAAAACCTCTGACAGTTTAAGAAGCAGTGCAGCAAGAGTCATGGTTAAACAAAACAGTTTGCTCACATTTTACAAACAAAACTTTACTCTGATGCTCATTGCTCACTGACCCACAACACCTAAGGGTTAAAAAGGCCTGTAACATGAAAAATAAAACAATGACAAAGTGAACTGACCATCCAGTGTATAAAAAATAAAAAATAAATACAAAATGTAATGCAGTGTCACAAAAATAGAACCCTGGTTAAGTGGCATTTCATAAGTTTACACGTTATTTCTTTGCCCTCATTGCTGACTCATCAAGAAGTTAACCACAGGCTATATCAGAAACCCTGACAGAGAATATAAGGATTAAACTCATGGGTTAATCACGCAATGCACACATAAAGAGAACCTGTTCTTTTTGGATATATTGACAACATTATTTACCTAAGGGATGAACAAACAGATACAGGTTTTAGTTTGAATCCATACTGATCCCCGGTAGAGTGGAGGATTGTAATCCACTAGCATTTGGTGGCATCTAGTGGTGTAGTTGCAGATTGAAACTCCCTCTTCACCCACCCCCTTCTCCAAGTAGAAAATATGGTGGCCGCACAGAAAACAGCCATATCTAGAATCTGCTTTTGGTTTATCTGTCCTGGCTATTAGCTTAGCCACCACACAGAAACGTTTACAAAGAGCCCTGATAGTGCTTCCAGTGACTGTTAAAGCTCCAGCGGACTCTTTTTCCAGCGCAGACACAGAGAAAGCTCTGACTACCAGCTCACTGTTCCAGCTTCACTGCTGTGGCCAGTCTGTCACTCACTCCGGTCGGTGTCAAGGCCACACCCCTAAAGTCACTGACCTTTGCAGGTCTCTGATGCATTCTTTTTTTTTATTTGCTGAGGGAGGGAGCCAACAGAATTAATTGGTGTAGTTACACTTTAAATACCTACCATCTTTGAGAGCTCTTCGGAAGACTCTGCCACTCTTTCTCTGTCATTACTGTCCACTACAAAGATGAGGCCCTAGTCGAAAAAACAAACAACAGCATCCAAGTAGTTAATTCCTTAACCTATTGTTCTGGTTCATCAAAGTATTGTACTGAAACAGCTTCACTTGGAGATCTGAGTAGAAGTATGTCAGAGCTGCGTACTACTACAGCTAAAGCTATTGTGTTAAACATGGGTTTAGCTTTGCAATATGAAACCTGAAGTAGTCCCACAGCACTGGGGCAGTCACAATCATACCTGTGTGTTTTGGAAGTAATGTCTCCAGAGGGGTCTAATCTTGTCCTGGCCACCCACATCCCATACAGTGAAACTGATATTTTTATATTCCACTGTCTCCACATTGAAACCTGTACAGAAGAAAGAGAAGGGACAGATTTTAAAATAACCCTGTACACACGAGTTCAACGAGGAAAATATGTTGAGGTACACACATTAAAATGGTCAAAATGTCCATAACTGATTTTAAAAGTAAGTTCTTACCAATGGTTGGGATGGTGGTTACGATTTCACCGAGCTTCAATTTGTACAGGATAGTTGTTTTTCCAGCAGCATCCAGTCCAACTAAAAGGAATTAAAAAATAATAAAATAAAATAAAAAAAATCAACATATGAAAGAATATCAGAGGACAGAGCTTTGGATAACAGCCTGCTGTAAATTGCATAATAGTCGTTTTCCTATAGATCTAATCAGCAGACAGTAGAGGACATGCAATAACACATGTGACTGCACAGAGCTAACCATCTGCAGAGTACTGAGGGGGGAAAACAAACATTACAGCTGGTCTTATTATCGATACATTGACATAATCGAGAACCCTTCACTCCCTACTTATTGTTTCTTAATTATCCGGAAACCGGAAGGAAATATTAACGCATCACACGTCATAAGGAGTTAGTTACCCAATAACAAGCCAACAGAAGTAGAAATCAAGTTAATAAGTTTGGTTAACTAACTAATACAAGATAAGAAGCTTTTTTTTGTTTTTGTTTTTAAATAGAAGATGAATAAACGGCCATTTTCTCCCAACTAAGTTACTGTTATCTTGTCAGTAACATATTCGATAAAAGAAACACTCGGAAAAAGCAGTCAAACAAATAATAAAGCTATTATAATTAAAAAAAACAATTTTTAACTTTAATTTATAATCTATTTTCAGGATAAACTTGCCGCTAGCGTACTTTAAATGCCAAATTTCCTTTAAAGAAAACACACCCGAAACCCACAAGCTAACGCGCTCGGAGTGAAAACAAGTTGTTTGGTTTTTTTTTAAACTAAAGTTAATTAAATGTCTCTAAGCTGTGTATTAATTCGTCGCTTCTGTTTTGAAGTTTATACTTAAAAAAAAAAAATGTTGGAGAACCGTAAGAGCCCATCAAGAAGAACTAGCTGTGAGTCCATCTAACGTTAGCTACGTTAGCCAAAGAGCTAAAGCGCTAAAGCTACAGCTTTCCACTCACCCATCAAAATCCTCATCTGCTTTTTGCCGAACAACTGGCTGAAGATCGACGAGATGGTGAGCCCCATGTTTAGCCGAGGGTGTTTGAATCTGCGGGTTGAGGGGAGGGGGGGAGAAAGCAACTGATATCAGCCACAGCAGAAAGCGACGTGTGGTAGTTTCGCACTGATCCGGGGCGATTTCCACACAGGACCGAGAGCCGAGTGCCACGTCCGGGCCAACGTGGAATCAACGACGTCATCAGTTTGAAGTAACTTTATCAACACACGTCATCGTCTGTTGACAGCGACTTTAAAACACGCTTTGTTGTGTTTTTTTTTTTGTACAGATTAAAAGATTTTTTGGGGTTTTTTTGGGGATATAATCACAAGAGTGACTTTAACACACGTTTTCTATTTTTTTTATTTTTATTTATTAAGTTGTTTTCAGCACGCGTCATAAAATGGAGGTCCGATTCCTACCAATAGGTGTCTCTGTAACACTTCTATCATAATATAAGTGTGCTGTGAACCTTGACGTAACAGGTCAATTGTGTGTGTGTGTGTGTGTGTGTGTGTGTGTGTGTGTGTGTGTGTGTGTGTGTGTGTGTGTGTGTGTAGCTGTTAGTTATGAATAAATAAAAACAATGAATAAAAAACACATTACAGAGAAATTATCATAAGAGCATATGCTCAACATTTGGCATGGCAGGGAAAATAAGGGATACAGCTGTTATTTTGGTTGGAAATTGGGCTCTAATAACCAACAGAGGGTAAAAATCCAAATAGTCCAGAGGGAATTCGGCTACACTGGTCTCCCTTGAGTGTATTTCATTTCTTGACACACTGGAAGTAAAACAGAATATTCCCAGTTCAGCTGGGTATTCCCATCTGAAAGCCCTGCAGTGACACTAACCTGGCAAGCACACATTCAAAGCAGGTGGAGTCAAAACAGCAGCACGTGACAAGGTGCAGACTTTTATAGAGGTGTACTTTGTTAAGAAAACACATTTTCGCTGAGGCCTGTTACGGAGACAGGTTGTTGAGTTGAGCCCAACCAGTGTGAGTTTTGAATAGACTGATAGTTGAATATTTACCATGGACCCCAGTGGTATACTAAGTGGAGAGCAGGTAAGCATTACACTTGATTACTTTTCTGTGCATAAATACATTAAAATGAACAGCTTATTTGCATGACAACGGCTAGGAAAGACATTACATTTCTGATAACATGTTTGAATTCTGTTTTTTAGATTGATATTCTCTCTACTGAGTACTTAGTGTTGCTCACTCTCAGGTAATATGCTTCCTCATACTTTTCATGCTTGATTTACCTGACCAGCACTGAATGCTATTTATTTACACCAGGAGGTTATATAACAACCAGATTGTGGCGTATAAAAGTGTTTTTAGTTGGGTTGTACAGTCAGTCTTTTTATATCAGCAGAGAAATAATCTTTAAATTTCAGTTTCCAGATTGTTGAGAGTTTTGCCAAAGGTAATGTGTGACGAGAGGCGGGCTTAGGTTTTCTTTATGGATTCATCCAGTGTTCTTGACATGCACATGAACATGAACATGAAGTTTTTGTTCTCATAATTATTGCCACCTCTGTTACTCACTAAAAATGTAATGTTGAGCACTGAGTTGTTGCTCACAGGATATTTGTTGCTGCTGTAAACCTAAAATCTCCCTCAGTGAACTCACTCTGTTTGCTGTGTCTTTATTTATGAGTCTCTCACTTTCTGTCTTCTGCTTGTAACAAAGAAAGAAAAACAATAAGAGGACAAAATGGTGGAGAAAATGCGAGGGAAAACAATTAATGTGCCTTCAGTTAGTTTTTATGGAGCCATGTGGAGGGTTACGATTTAACGTGCGTGCCATTTTACAGCTTTTTATGCAGGTGTCACATGTTGTCTTTCAGACACAAAAGTCCATCTCATCCTCAGACACTCTGGTCTGTGCAATAAAAGTATCTTGGCGCAGTTTTAGTGTTAATGTAGTGCCAGTTTACAACTCCTTATTCATTTTAAACTGTATACACCAAAATGAATGGAGTGCTGATATCATTTCACCAGCATCTATGGTTATTTAATGCTTCACATATTTCTGATTACCCGCAGTGTGATCGGGAGTTTTTCTGTCCTAGTGGTTTCTATAGTGAGATGGAGGCATCTAAAAGAACAGGTGAGTCAGGTTGTATTTGTGTTTGTACATTCCTGTGTGTGTGTGTGTGTGTGTGTGTGTGTCTGTTTTTGATAGCATGTTAGCTTGTTAATGTCTGTGTGGCTCTGCACCTTGTCACTGCCACATCCAAGTGTTTTGGTACAGTATATTTTAGTGACACAAAAGGCAGCAGGAAATGTGTATTGTTTGTATGCATATCGCAGGTTTACAGCGAAGAAACAACCTTTATGTGTATTTGTTTTGTAGGTGCACCTCCTGGTGCAGCTCGCCCTGGCAGACCTCCTGGCGGCTCTGATCCTGATGTTCACCAGTGCCATGAACAAAGTTAGCATGGAAAACAGTATAACCATCTGCCAATACAGCCTGCCGCTGTCACTGGTGAGAAACAAGTTACTTTCACTCTCTTAGACCCTTTAGCCTTGCAAATGAAAGAAGAGTGTTTCCTGGTGCGGGGAAGAGATCATATCTGAGCAAGACAGGTACACTGAGGTACTGGGTAAATACATCTACTTTGATTTGGGTACTTACCAACTAAAGTCTTTGTAGTTTTCAACATTGAAGATGAGATCACTGTCTCAGTCTTAAATCACAGCATTGCAGGATTTTCCCAGAGTCACTTAAGACTGTAAATGTGAGCAGTAAAACAAACTCCATGTTCTTTTCCTTATATTGCATCTATAAAGCAAAGTGGTAAGCAGTTTCACTGTGTCATATCTTAAGTTATGTACATGTCTCCACATTGTTTCCCCAGACTGAGAGGTAAAACTGCACGTTTCATGCTCTAATATTTGTAATTGTAAACAGTGCCCAGGTAACTCACCTGGTAGAGCGTGCGCCCCATATACAAAGGCTGAAGTCCTTACTGCAGTGGTCCGGGTTCGGTTCCAACCTGTGGCCCTCTTTCCTACCATCTCTCAAGCTTTCCCTGTCATAAATAAAAAGTTTTAGTGTTAAGTTGTTTTTGTCTCAACTTAAAGTTTTCTGAATGAACATTATATTTTACAGCAATAAGAGTTAAGGGTAGAGTAGATATTGACTTAACATAAAACAAACATAGAAAAGAATGTAATGTAGTCCAGCGTTATTCAGTATCATTCAGTTCACAATGTGGATATCTTTCAAAATACAGATACGGAGAATATTTAGCCTTTCAAAAGTCCAATATTTAATCAAAGCCAAAAATAACCGTGACAGTTACATTACAGTACATTTCTGAATTGATGGATATGAAAATGAAGTGACCCCAAGGCTAAAATGAATAATATCCGCTTTTAACACTCTTGTATCTTTTTATATGGATGTAGAATCTATTGGGCTCCGATAAGCAGTTTGTTAATGAAGACACAAAATATAAAAGATGTATAAGATGGTATTTGCCCATAGCAAACTGCTAAAGGAATATAATATTAGAGAATAATTAATATGCTGGTCTGCATTTTTAAAGTTCAGCTAAAGTAGTTGCTCATATTTATGGAAAAAGATCTACGACTTCACTGCTTCCCTCCTGTGAACAGTGTATTGTCTACAGTAGCATTCAAGGTTATTATATTGTCATTTATAACAGAGGGTTGTATAATGAAAGTTAGATATAGTTCCCTTTGTGCAACTCGTAAAACAAATTGATTAATAAGTCATACAAATAAAAATAATACTAATTTGCATGATGAAGGATGAATTTAACAGCCTGAGGGATGAAGCTGTCTTTAAGTCTGGTGGTACGGCAGCGGAAGCTTCTGTACCTCATCCCAGATGGCAGCAGGGTGAACAGGCTGTGGCTGGGGTGGGTGCTGTCTTTTAGTGTCCTCTGGGCTCAGCACAGGCACCTCACCTCACTAATATCCCTGATACTGGGTAGCTGAGTACCAATGATCTTCTGGACGGGTTCAAGTACTCGCTGTAGAGTCCTCCTGTCCAGGTCTGTGCACATCTCATGCCAGAGGAGAGAATGAGTTTGAGCCCAACATTGCATAATAATTCTGACTACTAGGGCTGTGATGATAAAGTTACAGGATGGTACACACAATATTTATAATAAAGCTGAAATCAAAGCAAACTATGACTGTACATAAATACTTATTCAAATCTAAAAAAAAATCACAAATCTTTCTTTCCAAATAATTTTTCTTTGACTGGAAATACAAAGAACAGGATGTCTTAAAGACATTTAATTTAGGCTTTCAAGTGATTGTTCTTCCAGCTTCATGATGCATATTGCCACATTCTGCATCACTTTTATATATTGTGCTAAAATATATTGTTACACTCCTCCCTCACTGATGCATCTTTGTGTCTTTGTTCGTTTTGTTTCAGACATTTTATTTTATTTCATTTTTGCTGGTGGTGGTTTACGCATGGCAGTCAAAGAGCGCAATCCAAGGGTGGAGAGCAAGCCCCACAGAGGATGGGAGTGGACAGGTGAGGCGTCCATTGCATCTGTAGATAATAAATTGTAAAAACTGGTCAGGACTAATTCAGTAACTTCATCCTCCCTGTCTGTCTGGTTTGCAGAGTCAGTGTAGAAGGACAATAGTCACTATACCTGTATATTTCATTGTCTGGTGAGTTTGTAGCTTCTTTTTAAATACTGTATGGTTAAATACCTTATTCCTGGTGAACACAATTTAATTTTGTTTCTCTGTTTGTCTAATATTACAGGTTGATCCCCATTGCAATATACTTAGCATATGTGCTCACTCCTTTCATAAAAACTACAATGCTGATTCCAACCACTGGCAAATCAGAGAACGTGCTTGTCCATAATGATACCAAATACTGCACCAGGTGAGCACACAACATGCATGATTAACTTCCTTCAAAGCCACTGTTTTCCAAACTGTTACAGAAGTGAAATAGGTCTGTTCCCCTGTGTTTTTGACCTTTTTGATAATCTCTTTTTTTCTCAGTTGCATTTTGTTCTTGCATGTCTGGAGGGACTCCTGCTCTGATGCTGTGAGTATAAAACTGTTTCATGAAACACTTTCATAAACTTGCTTTTAAGGCTTTTCTTCTATGCATTCTTTTTTAATTTGCAGTATTTTATTTCCCAGTTTTTCAATTAGTTGTATTATTATTTAATTTTACTGAATTCGATTGTTATTGTTGCATGTTGTATTTATTATACCAGCATTTTGTTGTAGTTTATCATAAAAAGAAAAATGCAAGGCAGCTTCAACTAATGTTGAGTGTTTGTGCTAAGATGTTTTTTTTTCTTCCCAGGAGATAATACACGACACTTTCATCCGAGTTTTCCTTTTCCTCGTTGTGATACCAGCAATGTTTTCTAGCTCTGTAAGTCCTAAGCAATCACATTATGTTAAGAGGAATTTGGATATCTTTCCAAACATGTAACTGTGTCATATTTTCTTTAAACATTATGTAAATATAGTTATTTCTATCTAAAGGCTTGAATAATATATTTACGTGTGTAAGCTGGCTATAATATTTCTTTCTTATTTCAGGTCATTTACTATAAGGTTGGTAAATGGTATGAAAGACATGAACAGGAGGGGCTTTTTCCAGTGGAGGGAGATGGACGTTCAAGAAGAAGATTCAAAAGAGTGTTTTCTACGGCAAGAAATATGGTGATGGTCATCTTATTCTGCTGGGCACCAGGTACATATAGCCACATGTGCACATTTAAAGCTAATGTAATATATTCCATAGTCCACATCAGATTGATGTCTTATGTTTCCTCCTGCTGTAGCTCTTGTCCTCATTCTGCTGTCTACCTTGATGATCTGGACAAAAGTTGAACAACGCAGCCTATTTGGTCTTTATATGATACAGGTAAGTTTCAGAAGCGCAAGACCTGATTTTAAATTAGAAAGTTAAAATTTCCTCTTACGTCTGAGTTGCAGGTTATAGTATTGTTTTTTTTTTAATTTCAGGTTGCCGGTGTGTCCTTGCAAGGCTTCCTGAACAGTATGGTTTACGCCTGGAGACGGCCCAACTTCACGGAGGCCGTTCTTGGGGAGAATACACCCCTGGTGGCACACGACCGCGTGGCCTTCTTTGATGAATCACTGAGCAGCACATGTTGACTCTAAAGGCACTGAGAGATATTGTTGTGCTGTGACAACACAATTGGCCTGAGAAAGACTGACTGCATGCTTGCACACTTCATGGCTTCATGACAATTTAGACTGAAACATGAAAATGTTCTCATTTGTGGCCTGAGGATGAAAAACAGAACAAAACGATAAAGGACACACAAAGACACTTTCAACAGGCAACGACTGATGCAGTGTTTTTCATTGCAGCTGCTGTTTTTCTCATGAACACAACAGTCATAGTAGCCTACAGTATAGTAGCATATTGTTTAATATAAATGGAGACAAAAAAACTTGTGGATAAATATTAGTATTGTATTTATATATGTGCAATTAATGTACTGTTTTATTAAGATTTTAAGATGTCATAGAGAATTGTGGTGTGTGATTTCTACTTTATTATGTTTTATCACATATTTATGTGTTAATATCGTTTAATTGTCCGCTGCTTTTGAACCAATGGATTTATTATTGACTTATTTTTCAGCAGTCTCTCAGTACTCTGTGCTGTGATGCGAGACAAGAATGATGGAAAACCTGTCAGGGTTCTACACTTTGCAGAAGCACGTGTCACCTTATGATGACATAAGAGTTCAGTCTCAGGAGCACATATGTGCTGGAACAGTGAGGAGTTGCTGCAGACAAGAGAAGGAACACAATTTCTGCTTTGTCATGTCTGTGTACGACCACAACTGTTAACATATCTCGTGAAAAATAAAGTGTGGTTACATAGCTGAGGTCACACATGGGCCATATCTACTATATTATTGTTCGCAGAGGCACAAAGAACAGTACACTCATGTTATAGTATCCTAAACTCCACGTTAAAGCATGTGTGTCTGTCTCTGAGTTAAACTCTATTAATGGTTGACAGACTGCAGGCAAACCTCTGTTGCTGCTCATGTAGGTGATCACCTGACTCATTTATCTGTTGTACTGTAAAGTAAACTTGATGTTCAGTTCCTTTTCTGAAGGCCACACAGTCACCTATGGGTGGGATTGATGCATACAATAAAACATGAGGGTTATACAGAACAAAGGGCTTGTAACAATCTAACAGTTGAACCCTGAAATCAGACAGAAATAAAACAAACAGATTTGAGATATGTCTGATTTGTTTTGCTTGTGTAAAGATATTTTTAATCCGTTCTGCCGAGCTTTGTTTTTCTTTTTTTTTTTTTTGAGTCATATTACTGTAAGACAAAAAAACCATACGGACCACACCTTGACCTGATTTCAGTTTCCTTGGGGCAATCCATTGTTGGATGTGCTCCAGATATCCTGCCTATTCATAGATATCATGTAATAAAAATGACTGTGTACCAGAGTGTTACTGAAAAATCATCCATACTCAGAAAATATGCAGTTCCCGGTAATAGAGAAATCTTGTTCCTTGTTCCTAATAGTTATTATGAGTGACCCATTTACACTATTTGTCAGCTGTGTGGTCATACTTTTATGTGTGTACAAAGAGGCCAACCAGAGGAAATCTTTTGTTATGGTAGTAATTACTCTTTAAAATATCAGACTATTAAAGGTCAAACACCAAGTACATGGCAGAGCTCACTGGCATAAACAGCAGCCATACTGAAGCCACAAGGGTGCATGTTCATGTGTTTGCCTGTGTGTACGCATAGTTGCTCCATTAATTATCTGCCCAGTGAATTTCCTGAATATGATGAATGAACCCCACAGATTTGCTGGCTAAACTGCGAGGCTGTGGCTCAGAGATAACTTTCTGGATTTCTAAATGTGTTTTGTCCTGTAGCTCCAAGGTTATCTATGTAGTTTGGCACAGTGACCACAACGCCGTGCATGCATGAGGAAAGTGAAAGTAACACATACATTTGAGGGAATTTAGAAAAACACTTCAGGGTTTTCAGATTATAGTATATGAATCATTTTCACATAAGCACATTTTCAATCCTCACTGACATTATCATTCAGACACAACATGTTAAAGGCAGTCTTTTATAGCCTTCAGTCAAACTTTATGATGTGAAAGGTGTTAATTAAATCATTTTTTTATATTGGTCTTGCTAATCAACAGCCTTCCTATCTTCGTTGGATTCTCTGCATTAGAGTTAAAACCCACTAACCCATCAGTTATATTCAGTGCCTACAGGAGAAAGGGAAAATGAAAGTTTTCTAGCGTTAGATAATGATAGGCGTGCCATTGGCAAATAGAAAGGTGCTTTTGGTGATTATACAACGGGATTATACAACACCAGTTAACTTTATATTGGAAATTCCATTTCTCCTACCTGTAACTCACCTTTTTGAAGGTCACTGATCAACACACACCTCCCTCATAGGAAGGAGCACTGTTTAACTGCTAATGCTAATTTTATATCTGTTAAAAGTGGACTTGATGAGACTTTTCCTAAACCACTGATGCAGAGATGTAAATATTTATTCTTTATTACAGGTAATGACAGATGAAAAACTGAGAGGTAATTTTTTTTTCAATGTTTGCTTAAAATGTCATCACTTCTTCTTAAAATCTTTCAGAACCTAAACACTGACTGAAAACATATTTCAACAAAATCTATTTGCTTTACAGTCAAATATATTTTACAAAATACACTGATAACAATAGCAATAGACAGCATTATCATCTTTCTTCATTTTTACACTGATCACAAACACAATAACAGCTACCTGTCAGCTGTCGCAGTGTCTGAGCCGAGTTGGCAGTGCTGAAGCTCCTGGAGCACTGCTCTGTAACAGATCCTACATTTTTCTAACCTCAATGAGAAGGTTGCAAGCGAAAAACGAGAAGTCAAGGATAAATTCTTTATAATTATTTTCATTATGAAGAAGTTAAGTGAGACATATCTGCTCTGTGGTGTTAAATTGTGAGTTCTGCCCCCAAACTGTGGCACTGATTGAAAAGTTGTTGCTGCAGTATTTACCGTGCCAACCTTGTCTTTTCTTTTCAGAAGTCCATGGACAAGGATCTTTGCTGGGCCATTTCAAAGTTCCCTCTTCGGCTTCCTGCTCTGCGTACATACACATCATACCTTCCATCCTCATCCTCCTCTTCATCCTCTTCCATCACTCTATCCTGCCGCCCCAGAGCCCTATCTTCCACACCATGATGGCCCTGCATTCGGCCTGGTTTCATACTAGGCCAGCTCTTCTTCCGCAGACTACTATTAAAGTCCCTGAGGGGAGGTAAGGTGTTCTGGCAGTCCCCTCTGAAAGGGGGAAGCTCCATAGATCCCCGGCCCATGCCATGTGCACCTAGACTGGCTTTGATGGAGTTGACAGAAGCCTGGGAGCCACAGTGGTGTTCGTGAATGCAGCGTGAGCCTGATGAGGATCTTCTGAGCGCCTGCAGGGACTGGAGTTCCTCTGATAATTCCCCAAGGTCCCCAGAAATCTCCTAATATGGATAATGTTACATTTGCGATTTTAAAAGATCACCATGTGCAGCTAAGTAAACGTAATCAAAGTAATTAAACTTACCTTATCTCTGAGAGTAAAGAGTTCATAATGTGGGGGGTCAAACACCTCCTGGAAGTCGCCCCGATGGAACAGGTTGTTCTTACGTACTAATACCTTCAAAGTATGATTGAACAGACTTGATGAATTCACTATTTTAATACCAATATTTTGTGGCATGATACAAACTAATTTCATTATGACTGGTCTTAATTACCTTTTTTCGTGGCTGTTTGACTTGCACCAGGATGGAGACGATAAGGAGCAGTAGCACCACTCCCGTAGACACACAGATTACTGTGCCATGAGTCTTTGTGATCTGGTGAAAAACACCTTTGCTCTTTTTTTCTGGATGATGGATATGAAGAGAGTGACAATGAGAGTTAAAATATGAGGGGTATTTAGAGGTTCTGAGAGGGCATTAGTCATGTATTTGTTGCCACCCCCTTCAGGACAGTCTGTATCTTTGGTTGCCAGGAACAATTTGAAGCCTTCACTAAAAGCCAAAGCTGTGATTAACAGCCATTCAAATCAATTGAGGTGCTCAGAATCCACTAAACAGCCAAGAGGCCTTGAAGGTTTTTTGGCTCGAAAGACATTAAAGATGATGAGATCATTCTTTTTCTGGCAAGAGGATATTTAGAAGGAATATTCTGTACTGTCCAACATTTTACTAATATGCACTGTGGTATCAGGGTAAAAAATTACAAAGACGACTTGAGGAATATTTGAAAAAAAGTAGAGGGGGTGTGTACAGTTAATAATTAATATATTAACAGAGCCGGACACAAAATGTATCATAATACATAACACGACACAACCTAGCTATAATACAGCACTGCTGATTTTCAAAGAAAGAATTACAAAGTGCTTTGGCACAACTGGAGTACCTTTGCAGTTGCTTTCATCCCAGGGAAAGACACAGTTTTGTATGCCGTTGCACACCAGAGTAGTGTTGATGCACATGTTACTGTGGCAAAAGAATGCAGTGCCTGCACAGGGTGCTGAAACACAAACACAGGTGTATCAATATGTGATGCAAACACGTTGACAAAACAACTAAAGCCAATAACAGTAAAAGGAAATTAATATGTTTTTTTTTTAAGTTGTGTAAAAGGGATCATATTTATTAGTGCTCACTGACTTATGGATCTTTCCAAAAGGATACATGGAAACCAAGCATTTTTGTACTATTTCCATACATTATTTAACTGAATGCATTTTCTACAACTGCTACCAAGACTCTTTCAAAAGTCTGCAGTGCTACATAGAAACCACTGGAGGGTGCTGCCACAAATCTGTTTGCAATCATACATCCAATCCATGTACTATACTTGCCCTGTCACAGCTGCAGAAACTAAACAAAAGGGACATTGCTAAAAATGTAAAATGACAGAGGTTAAGAATAATCTGAAGGAGAAACTCACGGTCAGCAAAAGAAGTGAACAGCATCCGGAAACGGCTGAGACGGCTTGTCTCGTCAGCCCACATCCTCACTACTCCCACACCAGTGTCCAGCATGATGTCATTAGCTACTGTACTACAAAACTTGGCCTGCAAGAAACCACGCACCATTCTCTCATACAGTGTTGGATGTGCAGTCTCATTGATGCCAAGGTCTGTAGAACAGGTGCTGCATATTTATGATTCAAATATTATAAGCATGTATGGCATGGAAAGACAAGATAATGTGTGTGTAATGATGTAATGATGTGTGTAGGACAGAGAAATTCAAAAAATTCAATTCAATTAAATTTTATTTGAATAGTGCCAAATCATAACAGAAGTTATCTCAGGACACTTTTCAAATAGAGCAGGTCTAGACCATGCTCATTAGGGTATTATTTACAGAAATTTCCACCATGAGCAAAGCACTTTAACACTTGGAAATGAGACTATAATGCACTAAAATGTGCAATAAATAAAGTACAAGATCAGAGGGGTTTAATTTTTTTTGGCTGGGGTAGCATACTGAATATTACACATATTATAAAGTGTATTACCTTTAGGTCCTCAATGGCATTACTGCCATCATAAACAGCCACAAAGTTCTTCTTACATTCATTTGAGTTTTCCATCTGGTATTCCAAGAATCGCAGGTAAATCTGCAATAAGCAATGATGAGAGATATACTGTGCATTTTGTTCATTTGTTCAGTGTACATGTCTTGTCTGAAGACATCACTGCATTAAAAGATCAAATATAAATAAACCATTTCAAGCCAGCTTTAGGGGATGTGTACTTATGTTGGATTATAAGTGCATATGTTTTGCTTTATACTTCATGTGCACTTACATCAAGCTGTGGATGTGCTGTCAGCGAATGTTTGATAACAAATGTAGTGCATTTATCTGGGTTTTTTTAACTTTAAATCCACACGCTTTGTCTTTATGATTATGTAAAGGATATGGAGCAAACATGCCACAACAGATGCAGAGGCTTAAATGCACTGCAGGCTGGAGAGTCATCATTTCAACCACTGTGCTGTTTGTCATTTTGCCACCAATGAATCACATCCCTCTCCTAAAAATAATTTAAATATTTCTCAACTTTTACCACCATACTTTTACTTTTCCTCAGCATTCTTCCCTTATATTAGCATCCGGTTATTACTAATGAACCTATTCTGCTGTTTTACATTAGATAACTGGCAAAAATTTTTAACTTTAACATGTCACATACCCTGTTGTTTGTTGGTGCCCGTATAGTCCAGATGCAGTCCACTGCCTGGTCTGGCTTTACTTTATACTCCTCCTCTACCTGACTGGAACGGATCAGACCGTCAGGCCCAGTCAGCTCGAACTGACAATCTGACCCACAGACAGCAAGAAAGGGTAATAAACAGGCAGACAAAAGGAAAGAAAAAGATTAAACATAATT